GGGTACCTCAGGGTGTTAGCTTGACTAATGGAACTCGGGAGCAGAAGGGAAGGCAGAGGGAGCTGATGGAGGCAGCTGTGTGGTGGGGAACAGCAAACTGAGCAGACAGAATTTTATTGTGAAATAGTCAGTGTTACTGGGGCACCTATTTTGTGTGATAAATGGTATGCTGCGATCCAGGCTTGTTGCAAAGCAGCCGCCCTAACTCTGCTCTGCTGCTGTCGCAACACGGGTATTTTTAGACTGATTCCCATTTATACCCGTCAGTACACACGGCCCTCACAGACGTTACTGAAATTAAACCTGAAGTTGGATGGGAATATAGGCACTGACCTTGTCAGCACACACCACGATCACAGCTCGCTTCAGATGCACACGTGCACTGTGGAGCTGCATTTTTCCATATGTGCAGATCTGCTGATCTGTGGAGGAGCTTTGCCAAGCAGCACCAACCCAAGAACCAGCACCCCATGCCTTGTTACTCCTCCTTCCATGTTACCTTTGAATGAAGTGCGGCCACTGGTGAAACCCAACCCCTGCTCTGCACCGGTGGGAGCCCTGCCGAGTGTCCCCTCTGCAGGAGAGCCGTGCAGGATGTTTTTGTGCAGGCAGGCTTCCTGGCACACCCAGACATGTGTCTGTGTGCGTGGGGGGACACACGGCGTTCGTCCCTGAGCGCTCTGCAGTGCTGCATGCAGGGACGTGCCCCTGCTAACCTGATCTGCGCGGCGTTGCACTGCCGGGCTCTGCTGGGAGAGCACTGCTGTGTGCAGAGAGATAGGGCTTGTTGGGTTGGGTGTGCAGCAGGAATTCTTGGGCTTCTGGAGCTTCGGAGCCTTAAACTTACCCTCAGATGTTGTTTGGTAATGAGTTAATTGTTCGTAGGAAGTTGTTACCAGACTGGGGAAAGCTTCACAAAGCTGCTGCTGCTCTCTTCGTTGCCCTGAGCTGGCATTGGGCTGAAGCCTAGCTTGTGTTCTGCTGGCTGGGACAGCGACAGCTCGCTATGTTTAGGTGCTCTTCCATCAAAGAATTTTCCATCTGGCTGTACCCTGCTAGTGCAGTCTGACTGCAGAGAGTTCCCAGTAATCCTTCCCCTTCTGATTGAGGATGCCAGTAGGCAGATTTAAATCCATACCTGCTGCAGTTAGATGGGTTGGACTGAAATGAGAGCACTTTTATGCGGGTTAATCTTTTTCAGAGCATGGGGTGATGCTGAACCTAGTGAGGCCCCATCTCCCTTCTTTAGCATCCAATCTGCCCAACATAGCGCATTGGTAGAAGTTTCCTTGCACTTTTGCTGTGTAGGAGCAGCGAGATGAGGACATACAACACATTTATTTCTAAGGGGGCTGAGATTTTCATGCTTTTCACACATACCCCTCTCACTCAAGCCATGTACATAATTTTACTCCAAACTGACAAGGTTACATGCGCTCTCTATTAAGTAACATACATCAGCCTGTTCTCAAGAAAGGGCACTTGTAATACTCTGCCAGCAGAAACGTGTTGTGCAACGATGCATACACCAGCTGGCATTATTTTCCTTCTAAGAGCATGTCTTTGAAGATATTTAAACAGCAAACTCTGCATGAAGGACAGATGTTGAAAATAGACTCCCACCAACCTGAGGTCAGAGCTCAGGCTCTTGTGTTCTGATATTCAGAAAAACATGTTTCTTTTCGAAATGAGAAGATAAACATGTTGGTTTTGTTGGTTATTCACTTGTTTCATAGCTGCTTAGAGCTTACAAGATGTCTAATACAGTATATTCATGAGTGAGACATTCTTGCATTTTGTCTTGAATGTGCCCAGAATTCAGATAGCTAAACACAACTTGTAATATTATGGGCGTTTCAAAATCTGGAGTTGTACCCAAGAGGGGTAAGGCAGCCATGCTGAAGGTGCAAAAACCATTACATCTTCTCTGTAAGGAAGCAGCCAGCTAAGGGGGTGGTGGGGAAGCAGCAAAAACCCTCTTTCATCCTTCCCTGCTTCATGAGGAGTCCTGTATCTTTTCTTTATGAAACAGTAGGCTGGGCTGTAGCAGAGCTTATACTCCTTGTTTACTCAGCAGTGGGAAATGTGGTTTTCCTTCTGCAGGAAAGGAAGCTGGGTACCATGAGCACTGCTTTCCCCATGTAGGATCCTACAGCTTGTGGTGATATGAGGTAGCTGGCACTGGTGCAAGCATGGATGTCAATGTGCTGCATGCCCGCTGCCTGTCCTGGTGGTGCTCTCCAGCTCGCTGCATGCAAAAATAACCCTACTTGTTAGCAGCCCAGGCTCTGCCAGAGGGCAGGGAGAGGAGGCGATAAGGTTGTGTCCCATCCCTGAGCAGGGTGCAAATTATCTTCTGGGTCAGCGCAGGCTGATCCCTGTGCGGGTTGGGATAAAACAAAACCCTGCTCATTTGAACTGTTGCACCATGAGCCAGGAGTACTGGGCAAACCCTGCTCGGTTCTGATTTCACCCCTTGCAGTTTCTGTGACTCACATCTCGCTCAGACAATCTGCACAAGCTGGTGCTTTCTTCGACCCTACATGTAGCTACTGCTTGGGGTGAAATCTGTTTGGTTTGAGGAATCAAAGCCTTGTGAGAAGGACAGAACAAATTGCATACTGTGGTTATGAGCAGGACACAGTGGCTCCCAAATGGTGCTGGTGCTCCTACTTGCTTTTCAGATCATTTAGCATTTAGGCTCTTCTTGCTCTGCTGCTCATTCCCACTGGTGCACTCCCTCCTTCCCAGCTCTATTTCTACCAACTGTGGGTCTCTTCCCCAGCATCACCTACAGCCTTTGTGCACATGGACAAGTTCATGTGGGCTGAGGTCAGGTCCAGCTGGGCACCTGTTGCAATTGCAGCATGCACTGAATCATTCAGACTTGCCAGCACTGCACTGGGGCAGCTTTGGGTGGTGATGTCAGCTCTGCCCTCCTGACCCACTCCCTCCTCCCCTGGACCTCTGTACCTTGGACTGACAAGTGTGCATCAGAGAGGAGGGGAAGCTGAGTTGCTGTTTTATTGAATTCTCTTTGTCACCGATTCATTATTAAATTATGGTTAGCATCTCATTAGAGAGCCCCAATGGGCATGAGTTCATTAGTGTTTTATTGGTTAGAGCTGTGCTTCATTACGTGGGAAACGTATCCCAAAGAGTGTCTGTGCTCGTCAGAGTGCTGCACTAATGAACCTGAGCTGGAGTGGATGTGGCATAGTTCTGAAGGCTCAGGTTTGCAGGGGAGCTTTGCACTCGCCTCGGCATCAGGATCAAGGGCCAGATTTATGGGAGCAGATCTGAGTGCTCAGCCTTTTGGAGAATTTGCTTTCTTAGCTGCTTCCAGTTCATGCTGGAGCTTTGCCACAAAGGGATTTGGCTGCAGCACGGCCTGGGCAGGATGCTTGCCTCGAAGCAGGCGGGCAAGGGATGAGCCCAGGCACTGCCCTCACCAGCAGCCCCAGTAGGATGAGGCAAAGGGGACCCTTCCCCAGCAGTTCCATACCCATTCTGCCCCATACAGCCCGTGCCAGGGTTTGGTAACACCTTTGCTGAATCCTGCTCTGTCTGCTTTGCTTTCCTGGGGCTGTTACTCACCCAAAGCCCAGGCTAAAAATACTCTCTCTAACCCTGAGCTGTTTTTCAGGGTTGGAGTCTCTTCTGAGCACAGATTAATTAGCACTTAGGGTCACTCAGAACAGCAAACTTTGGCTCCAGCAGCTTGGCGGCATGGCCTGGTGCTGCTGATCAATGAGCAGCAGGACCTGCAAGTCAGACTGAGGTGGTGAGGGCTGTGCTCAATTCTGCAACTCCTCTGCTTGTGAGGGGTGACCCTTGGAAACTGGCTCCAACGGGCTCCTTGCTGAGCGGCTCTGGAGATCTGCTGCTGCACCATGGAAGCAGGGCACAGCCCTGCAAGCAGCTGGCAGGCAGGCAGGGGATGTGGAATCTGTCTGTAGCCTGAGCTTTGATTTCTGCAGCCAACAACTGTGGCTTTGGAGCGTATGGGCTCGCCCAGCCTGCCTGCTCCGTGCGCTGGGACAGGCAGAGCTGCATCACCCTGTCAGGTGCTTTTCTGAGTCATCTGCCTCCCTCATCTCTCTCAGCCACTTCCAAATGGCTTTGAGGAATTGTATTTTCAGGTCTTTTATCATTGGATCACAGGTTGGGGCCAGAAGCGTTTGCTGCCTGCTGGCTTCTGGCTGCCAGAGCTGATGCATCATGCAGTGCTGGAAATGTCACCCAGAGCCTCAGCAAGGACCTAAGGCAGGGCCCGGCTGCTGCTCCCTTTGCAGCAAGGCTAGCTAATGAACAAGTTCATTAAATCCCTCTTTCTTGAGTGCAGGATACAGGGATGCTGTGCCACAGGGGCGCTGGGTACCAATGTCAGTGGTGGGGAGGTTCTGTGACTCTGCAAAACTCTGCAGTGATGGGAGCAGATGGGTGCTCCATGAGCACAATTACTGGCCAAGCATCCCCTGTCCCCTGGCACCCTGCAGGGCCACAAGAGTGTGTGTGGTCCTACTGAGCCACAAAATGCTGTGGTTTTACCCCCAAATACTTCCAGCCATAGCTTTAGCAAAAGGCAACCCTCACTAGTGCTGTGTGGGACTTTGCTCAGCCTGAATTAACACCTGACCTGTTCACCCTGCCCAAGCCCTCAGTGATTGTAGGGCTCTGTATGCAGGAGTGGTTGGGTTTGGGGGAATCGTGTTCTCTCCCTGTAGCTGGGCTGGAGTTTTGTGTTTAGCCACTGATCTTTGGAAGTTCCTGGGTTTTATTTCCCATCCAGTGATTTCTAATTGAAGTGGGTAATCGCATTATGCTGTCTCCCCTGGCAAGGTTCACTGAGTCCTTAGCAGTCATCTCTGATTTTACACTGAGCCCCCCAGAACTGTGCTTGGCATAGTGTTTCTCCTCCCAGAGTTCAAGCTGGGGGAGGGGTTGGGGAATTGCCCTTCAGAGCTCCCCAGGAGGACTAACTTGGCCTCTCTCTGCAGTATGAGTTCAAAGCCAAGAACATCAAGAAGAAGAAGGTGAACCTCGTCGTGTCAGTGGACGGCGTGAAGGTCATTCTGAAGAAGAAGAAGAAGGTAGGCAGCCCCAGACCAAGGTGGCAGTGCTGGGGACCTGCAGGGTGTGCAGTGAGATGAAATCCATGGATTCCCAGGAATCAGGAGGTCCCTGGCTGTGCTTTGGGCAGGAAGCACTCTGGCTGCACAGGGCTTTTTGGCTGCACACTGGGCAGGTCATCTGCTGGGGCTGTAGGGCAGCAGCAGGACTACAGCAAGCACTGCCCCAGCACTGCCTCTGCCCTGTTTTCGATCATGAGGGCAGCATCTGACGTACTGATTTTCAGCTTTTTTCCTTGCAGAAAAAAGAATGGGCCTGGGATGAGAACAAAATGCTTGTCATGCATGATCCCATTTACAGGTAAGATCACTTGGGGATGGCAAAAAGGCTCTGATGTGCCACACCAGCACCCTGAAGCCTGAACTGAGCTCTGAGCTGTGCAGTGATGGCTTCTGGGTCCGTGCTCAGCTGGGAGCAGGCACACTCCTGTAGGAAAACCTCTGCTGAGTTCTGCAGGACAGCTGGGCGAGGTGCCACTAAGCTCCTTTTAATGATCCCAATTAGAGCAATAAAGCTGCACCCTGCTGGGGAAGGGAGAGACCTGATGGCGGGGTGGCTCCATGGGCTGGAGCCGGGCTGGGGCGCAGTAGCCGATAGGACTGTCCTGTGGTGATTTCAGAGGGCACAGGGCAGCTGCTCTGGCTTGCTGTGCACTCCCAGCATCCACCCAGCGGGCTGGCTGGGGTGGAGGAGACCAGACATCAAAAAGGCACAGAGGTTTTGTTCCTGTGGGTCTCCTGCAACCTGGGACCTCCAGCGCTGCCATGGGGGCTGAGCAGCGAAATCCCTGCGCTATCTTTGTGAAGGGTTTGCTGCTGCTGAGTCAGCAGAGGATTTTTTTTTCACCCCAGGTGGAACCACTGCCAAAAAAGAATTTCTGCTGGGCTTTAGCAGGGCTGTGCTGCAGAGGCTGGGCAGCTGCCAGCACCCAGAGTGTGGCCTGTGAGACTCCGGCTGTGGCCTTGCTGGCATCCCGGGCAGCAAGTGGGTAGTGTGTGTTGGATGCAATGCCCTCCCCTTCCTTTCTGTCCTTGCAGGATATTCTATGTGTCCCATGACTCGCAGGACCTAAAGATCTTCAGCTACATTGCCCGGGATGGGTCTAGCAACGTGTTCAGGTGCAATGTCTTCAAATCCAAAAAGAAGGTGAGGATGCTGGGAACACGTCCCAGCGGGGTGGCTGGGCCAGGACCTGGAATCACGATGTTTTGCATTCTGAGCTGCGGTCGCAGTGGCGATGCACAGAAAGCTGGGCAGCTGCTCACTATGGGCTGATGCCTCTGCTGTTCTCCCTCCTGCTGCAGAGCCAAGCCATGCGCATCGTGCGGACGGTGGGACAGGCGTTTGAGGTCTGCCACAAGCTGAGCCTGCAGCACACCCAGCAAAATGCAGACGGGCAGGAGGACGGGGACAGCGAGAGGAACGGGGACGATCTGGATGTCCCAGGTACCGTGCTGGGGTGAAGAGGCCACAGATCATTGCTGAGGTGGCTGGCAGGCACCATCTGCAGAGCCTCTGTCTCTCTGTGAAGCTTGCTGCCGGCTGACACCTGCAGGGAACGGATTTGCACGGCAGTCTGCCCTGCAGTGCAGCGGGATCTTGCCCAGCAAGGAGCCTTCACTAGGTGTTAACCTTCATCCTCACAGACATCCCCCGTGCTGGGAGCCCATTAGCAGCGCTCTGGGCTCGGCTGGGTGCCCAAGTGCTCTCCACTTCACATGCTACAAACATTTCCTCGCTGTTGCCAGGAAAGGGGCCAAAGCAGGGACTGTCCCTACATCCCCAAGCTTGTATCTGATGCTCGGAATTGTAAGAGAGGGGAGTGGGTGGCTGTTCTGCAAGAGATGGCTTGCACACCTGCAGCCTTCTTCAAGCCCATTTTAGGGGCCCTTTGGGATGTCTGAAGGTCCTGCTGCCTGTCTGCATTCAGATTCCCTGTCCCCCATAGGGTGCAGGGTCCTCTGGAGCTGCCTGACCCTGCAGCACTGCTGTCCTGAGGGGCTGCTGCTGGCCTGAGTGGCTCATTGTTTGTTTTTCCTCTGCACAATGTCCTGGCCTTGGTTTGCAGCTCCCTGGGGATTTCTGAGCATCCGTCCTTTTTGTTTTCCCATAACCTCTTGTTTACCTTCAGCTTTCTGTGTCTCCTGTTCTCAATAGCCAGCCCCAAATCCAGGGCTTTTGGCTGCTGGTCCCTGGAGGTATTTATGAGCCCTGCCCTTGGCAGCCACAGAAGCACAGCCATGGAAACATGATGTGCGATTCCCCAGCCTGCATATAAGACATGCACTGCTCTGGGACACAGCGTCTGGGAAGCCCTAAGGAGCATTGCAAGGGACTTTGGCTTAAACAGGACATTAATGTGCTTGGGTAGCTCCTGCTGGGGGAAATGCAAGCGAGCAGAGATCAAACAGATGGGGCAGCCGAGGATGGGGGTACAGGGAATGAAGGGGGGAATGCAGGGTCCCAGTGCTCACCCCCAGCCGTGCCCTGCTGTCCCACAGCCTGCCGCCTCACTGCTGCAGAGCGGGCAGCCACCTCAGCTGAGGAGACCGACATCGATGCTGTGGAGCTGCCGCTGCCCGGGGCTGACATCCTCGACTTCAGCCGCGGCGTCACGGACCTGGATGCTGTGGGCAAGGAGGCGAGCGGTGACACCAAGGTGTGTGGGTCCCTCTGGGAGCCCGGGGGTCAGGAGGGATTTTGCAGCATTCCTAGATCAAAGCTGTCTGCCGCTGCACTTTGGCTCGGGGCTGAGCTGCATCTGCAGAGCACCGTACCAAAGCTCAGCCACATGGAAAGAGTTGGGGCAGAGCTGATAGGGATAATTGTTTTTCTTGCACACCTCAAAAAAGGGTTATTTTTGAGACAGTGGAAATTTCCATGGGAAACGGCAGCCTTTTCCAAAACTTACTGCAATAATATTTGTGCTTTTGTCACGAGCCTGGGGGAACATGGGGAGGTCAGCGAGCCCGTCAGCCGGCCTCAGGCAAAAATTGTTCTCAGAGCTTTTCAGCAGGCCTCTCCTGCCTCAGCAAAGCGTGATTTGCTTGGAATGCAGCAGCCTTATTCCTGGAAATTTTGGAGACTGCTCTGTGCCTGGCAGCTCTCATGGCTGTGGAGGCACAGGGTTGCCCGTACTGACATTGGTGTGTTGCAGGGCTGCCTCCACCCTGAGGACATCCTGACCGCTTCGCCCAAGATGCTGCTGCCATCATCCACCCCGCTGCCCGACCTGGGCACTCCTCTGTCTGCACACCACCAAATGCAGCTCCTGCAGCAGCTCCTGCAGCAGCAGCAGCAGCAGACACAAGTGGCTGTGGCACAGGTTTGTCCCAACACTGTTTTCTGGGGGCGCAACATTGAAGCCTGGGGAGACCCATCATGAGGCATGTGGCAAAATGCCAAACCGTGCCACTAATCCTGGCCAACCACAGCCAGCAGCTCACTCTGCCTGAGTTTTCCTCATTTCAGCAGCTCTGGCTCCTCCATTTGACCAATGACCATAGCTTTGCTTGTCCCCTGACACTTCCAGAGCTCTCTCCAACTGTTTATCTTTCACAGAATCAATAGCAACCATCTGCCCATACGCACCATGCTCACTGACCATGTCCTCCACTGCCACATCTCCTCAACTCTTGAACACCTCCAGGGACAGTGACCCCACCACCACCCTGGGCAGCCTGTGCCAATGCATCACCACTATTTCAGAGAAGAATTTTTCCTAACATCCAACCTGAGCCTCCCCTGGTGCAGCTGAAGGCCATTCAACTGGCCTGAGCAAGCAGCTCCAGAAGACTTTTTCTGCTTTGCTTTGGCTTTTCTCCCCAGGCATCAAAAATCAGCACTGATCCTTCTACAAGGGTCGTGGCCTTGGGAAATGGCTCACCCTTTGAAAGAGGAACCTGCATTTTTGGGGGTCCTCCATTCCTGCCCAAGCAGCAGGATGTTGTTCATACAGGAAACCACATCCCTGTGGGACAGAGACTCGTCACCTTTGGTAGTTCCCAATCTTTGTGGATCTGCAGACCTTTACACTGCTGATTTCTTTTTCTTCCTACTTCCAGATTTAAAAAAATCTGAAGTAGTGTGTAGCTATCTCTTGGCTGGCTTGTGGGATGGCAGCCAGTGGCTCATCCTGCTTTCTCCAGGGGCTGACACCCTGCACTGGAGCTCTGCCCGCCTCGGCGTGGTTCTCGTCCCAGAGCTGTCACTTAGCTCCTCTCCAATCCATTCAGCGTGAGCCGTGGTGATTCGGTGTCACACTAATTTATTAATGAAAAAGTTATGTTCTGCTGTGTCAAATGCCTGTTAGATGACTGAGCACATTACATCAACATCTCTGTTGATGGTACTTGTTATCTTCTCTCAAGAAATACCAAGCCAGTTTGTCTCTGAACATGGTGACTGGCACAGGCTTAATTCTTTACAAACAAACCAGTAGCTGTGCTGTGTCAACCAGGATCTGTGTCAAACTGATGGGTCTGTAGCTGCAGGGACCATTCTGTAATTATCGTTGCCTGTAATTAGCTGGAGATGAAATATCATTTAGCTCCCTCGCTGACCAGAGAGACTTTTTTTTTAAGGTGTTTCCAGATACCTGTCCATCTGAGTGCTGTCCCTTGGGACTGGTGGCACAAGGCACTGCCCCTCTGCCAGCTGCAACACGTGGGCTCTGCTGGCTGCTTCTCTGCAGCACCTGAGCACCACCCCAAGCCCTGCTGCAGGCTTCTGTGATGCAGAGGGGAAAGATTTTTTCCAGGCTGATGCTGTCAGCACAGAGACTGCGCACCTGCTTAGCATTTAATTGCAATTCCACTACCGCCAGCTGCTGCCTCACCCAGCAGAGCTGTGCAAAGGGCTCCCTTGCATTCCCCACGGTCATTGAGTGTATTCCGATGTGACGGTGTGCCTTCTGCCCCTCAGGTCCACCTGCTGAAGGACCAGCTGGCTGCAGAGGCAGCGGCACGCCTGGAGGCGCAGGCACGTGTGCACCAGCTCCTGCTCCAGAACAAGGACTTGCTGCAGCACATCTCGCTCCTGGTCAAACAGGTGCAGGAGCTGGAATTGAAGCTGGCGGGGAACAACACCAGTAAGCACTCCTGCCCCAACCTCTCACCTCACAGCTAGCTGGGAACCCATGGCACAAGGGGGTGTGTGGCGGGGGACCTTGCTGTGCACCCTGGCTCCGGAGAGACATTGAATTTGGAGACATGGCACAGCACAGCACCAGTGCCCCTGTGTGAGAGGGGCTAGGGGTAGAGTCCATGGGGAACGCGTGGGTGTTATACCCCACTTTTTGGTGCATTTCTGATGTTTTCTGGGGAGGCGCAATATTAGTGCCATTCTGGCCTGGCTTGTGCATGTGCAGTAGGACACCTGCATGCAGGATGGAGGGAGGTGTGGGGTGGCCATCACACATGTCCATTAGCTGTATGTCTGCTCTCCCCAGCAGCTGCACGTCTATGCCAGCTCCCTCCTTGCCACAGAGACCCTCCTTGACCTTCTTTTCCAGTAGATGTGGCCATCAGTTGCCTGCAGGAGCCAGGGAAAGGCAGCTAGCTTTCCATCCTGGCTCTCTGCAGGCCAGCAGCTCCTGGCACACGTGCCACTGTCATCCATGCATTTGAGGCTGTGGGTCTGCAGCCAGCCATGGTGGCCTTGGGATGCCCGGGAGGGACAGGGTGGCACTGCCTGCCTCTCAGCCATGCCCTTCTCTTGCAGCAGGCTCCCAGGACAGCCTGCTGGAGATCACCTTCCGCTCCAGCGTCCTCCCCGTGCTCTGCGACCCGACCACCCCGCAGCCTGAGGACACCCACCTGCCGCAGCTGGGCCCTGGCTCGGGCTTCCCCAGCGCCCTGGGCAGCCCCATAGGTAGGAACGACTGTCTGGTGAAGCTGGAGTGCTACCACTTCCTGCCGAGCTCGGGGTCGCACGCCCCAGAGCCGGCTCTGGGCAGCCTGGAGCTCCTCAAGTTCCGTGAGTCGGGCATCGCCTCTGAGTATGAGTCCAACACGGACGAGAGCGAGGAGCGCGACTCCTGGTCCCAGGAGGAACCGCCACGCCTGCTCAACGTCCAGCCCCGGCAGGACCTGGGTGACAGTCTGGAGGATGAGATTGCGGTGTAGGGGATGTCAAGAGGTGGCACAGAGCAGCCGGGACCCCCAGGGATGGTGGAGGGAGCGTGGTGCTGGTTGGCAGCAGGGGCCAGAGCTGGGCATGGTGCGTGATGCTGCCGTGCTGGCAGCTCCCTCCCTGGCTTGTGCTGTGCCCAGGACCCTGATGTGTGCAGTCCACAGCAGCTTTAGGGAGGTAGATGTGGTGGTACTGCAGTATCTCTGTTGGAGCAGGGGGCAGATCTTCCTTCCCTGCTGCCAGTCATCTTGTCCTGAGCTCAGCCGGCCCTCAGCACCCTCAGCTTCATGCCAGGCTTGTGTTGCTCCCTGGTCCCCATGTACTCCCAAGCTGCATCTTGAGATCAGAAGCAAGGGAAGCAAAGTGCTCTCAGCAGCAGTCCCTGCAGGGCTCCTTGTGCTGCTGGCATTGCTGCTCAGCAACCGTCATGGGTTAGGAGCCACTGCTAGCAGTGTTACTATTGGGTGGAGCAATGAAACTGGAGAATGTTTTTGCTGGAGGAATGAGAAAACAGGTACGGGGCAGGGACAGGAGGGACAAAAGAGCCAGCATGAATTGGTTTCCTGCATGATAGAGATGGTGAGAGATGAGGCTGGAGCTATGCTACTGGGATGAGAGATGGTGCCCCATCGATGTGGGTGTGTGAGGGGGGAGGAATGCTGGGAAGGAGATTGGAAAAGTGAGGGATAAGAGGAAGTTGCACAGTACAGCCAGGCACAGGCAGCTCCTTGCAGGCACTGTGGTTTGTGGCACTGTGGGGCAGAGTTTGTCCTTGCCTGGGCAGACAGAGGGTGCTGGGCATTGCCTGCTCCTCTCCTGGGCTGTGAAGTGTATAGGGAGGCACAAATGTGCATGCAGTGAGAGCTGGGGAGCACAGCACAGGGAGGATGAATTCTCCTTACCTCATTGCCTAGTTCCGGAGCTCTTTGGTACTGCTACCAGGTATCAAAGCCTTTCTGGTGCTCTCAAGTCGTATTTTCAAGCAATTCCCTGCACCACTGCTACTGCCAGTTCCCTGCTTGGCTTTACAGACAAACCATTCCATTTCTATGCGGTTGCTTGCCACCAGAACACTGCTGGCAATGGCTGTGTGTGCATGCAGACAGACATGCACAGCCTCTCCATGGAAGCAAGATCTCCTCCTTCCCTAGCTGCTGTGGGCACAGTGTACGCTCACATTCCCCAGAAGGGGTTATTCTGCAGGGTGACTTGGTGGCTGTGTAGCCCATCACGTGGCTGGGGTAACCCCGCTCCCAGGCAGGGTCTGGATTCATGGTGGTTTCTTCAGGGTGCATGCTGACCCCAGGATGGAGAAGGGGGGCTCTGGACCCCTCTGGAAGGCGACACCAGTCATGAGGAACTGCTGGGAATTGCCTGGTGCAGTGCTCAGTGCCTGTACTGAGCTGGAATGGGAGAGGTAGGCACCCTACGCGGGGAGCTCGTGGGTGGCACAGTGACAAATAACTGGGCACGTGGGCACCTTCATGTGTCTGGTTTTCATCTTCAGAAGAGTTAATCCAGGATTTCAGGGCCTTCACCAGCCCCTAAGAGGCTGATAGATGTTCTTGGGGGCCTCCAAAGGAGCCAGAGCTTCTCCCTGCTCTGCAGCACACTTACTAGTTGCCCACTGTTGCAGCCTCTGAGAACACAACTGAAGGGATGCAAACCAGATGACCCTTCTGCTCCTTACAGAAACATGGGGAGACAGGATTGACAAGATTGTCTTCCACATCTTCCACCCTCCTGTCCTGCTTCTGCTTTGCTTTGCTGCTTGCCTGCTGCTTTTCCTTTTGCCAGCTGTCTCTGCTTGATCTGCCTGCATCTAACCCCTGGCTGCCTATCTCCCAGACTCAAGCTCTTGCTCTGCTCCAGTGTTTGACTCTGCTGTGAGGAAGGTCCATGGTTTTCTCCTGCTCCAGTCCCCTCGGGGTGGAGGAGCAGGGTGCAGGTGAGACCCCAGGGGGAGCAAGGGCTGTGCTGTGCACTGTCCACCCCATGAGGAGGTGGGCACTGCAGGTAGCAGAGCTGTCAGGAGCTAGAGAGTCCTAGTGGGAAGGAAGGATATGTCCTCTGATGGATCTCGTGTCAGAACCAAGGGGCATGTGGGGAATGTGGAGGTCAAAGGCAGCCTTGGCTGCAGTGACCCTGAGGAATTCTTAAGATTCTTAGGTCAGGGAGGGGAGTGAAAAGCATTCTTTGTGGATCTGCTGGAAGAACTCTGTGGATTGTGGCCTTTGAGTGAAGAGCGGCCAATAAAGCTGACTGATACTCAAAGATCACCTCCTCCAAGCTCGAGTGGTCCATCCCATCAAAGAGAAAGTCAGGCAAAAAATGGATGAGCAAGGAGCTGCTGGTCAAATTCAGACCCCAAAAAAGAGGCATACAGAGGGTGGAAGCAAGTACAGACAACCTGGAAGGAATAGAAACATTGTCTGAGCATCTCAGGATGAAGTTAGGAAAGCTAAAGACCAGATGGAATTAGATATGGCCAGAAATGTCAAAGACAAGAAAGGCTTCTGTAAGTATGTTGGTGACAGAAGGAAGAGTGCAGGTTATCTCTGAGCTAGTTCCAGCCTTTGATGCTGTCTCCAAAAGATCCTCATAGACAAGTTCTTGATGTACGGGACGGATGGGCAGACAGTGGGATGGGTTAGAAACTGGCTGAACAGCCAGGCCCAGATGGTAATCATCTGTGCAGACTATTTGGAGGCCAGCAGCTTGCAGTGTACCCTGGAGGTCAGGGGTGGTACAGCGCTGTTGAACCTCCACATGGACGATCTGGGTGACGCGGCTCTCTCAGCACGACTGCAGACAGCAAACCTGGGAGCAGCGGCTGCTGATCCACCAAAGGGCGGTGCTGCCATCCAGAGGGACTGGAGAGGTGGGCTGGTGGGAACCTCCCGGGGTTGAGCGAGGAGAAGTGCAGTTTGGCTCTCGTAGGAACAAGCCCAGGCACTGGGGTATTCCAAAAGCAGCTTGACAGAGGTGGAGCTGATGGTCCTGGAGGACACCAAGCTGAGCTGAGGCAGCAGGTCGAGGCAGTGATCCTGCCCTTCTGCTCGGCACTGGTGCAGTGCAAGAGGTATACAGAGCTCCTGGAGGAGAGACCAGTGAGAGGTTGTGGAAGTGGAGAAGGGACTGGAGCACCTCTGCTGAGAGGCTGAGGGAGCTGGGACTGTTCCTCCTGAAGAAGGCTCAGGGGAATTTGTTGATGTGTTTGGATACCTGAAGAGAGAGGTGCAAAGAGGATGGAGCCAGGTATTTTTCAAGGCTGCCCGAGAGGCAATGGAGACAACTGGAACACGAAGTGCAGTGTGAACACTGGGAAGCACTTCTGTGCTGCGAGGGTGGCTGAGCTCTGGCACGGGGTGCCCAGAGAGACTGGGGGGTCTCTTTTTTGGGAAGTTTCAAAAGCTGTCTGGACGTAGGCCTGGGCACCCTGTGCTGAGTGGCTTTGCTGGAACAGGAGTTGGTCCAGGTGGACCTTCTAATCATTTTGTGATTGTTTCAATGTGCTCACCAGTGGCCTGGTGCCCAGGGAAGCCCCCACACCAGCTCCAGAGGGGATAGAGCAGGAGTGCACGTCCTGGGTATTTCCTGCAGGCAGGGCTGAGCCTTGGGTTCACGGTCAGCACAACCACAGGGAACGGTGAGCTGTGTCCCAGGGCTGACAGGGGTGCTGCAGCCCCCTGTGCCTTGCCAGGGCCAGCTGGGAGCCACCCAGTGCCATGCTGCACTGCAGCACCATGTGTATGTGTGAGTGGTCCTCCTAGCCCAGCACTGCCTACAAAATGCCTCTCTAGCTTCTCACTTTTGTTATGGACCTTGACTGGGGTTTTATAGCTATATTTTTTTGTCCTTTCTTTTCCTACAACTGTCGTGTTACTAACTGTTGACTCGGTCTATCTGAGAAACCAATCTGTCAATGTAAGTGCACTTAACCCTTGGGTGTTGTCATTAGTTGATTGGCTTTTGCTAAATAAATCTTTCTATTTCTCAAGGCTTTCTGTTGTCTCTTCCTTCTTGCTGACTCTCTCTCTTTCCATACTCCTCCTGCCCTCCACACTCTGCCAGCCTGGGCTGGCAGCCAGCACCAGGGGTGGCACCCCCAGCATTGCACAGATTCTCTTGGAACTGAGCATCCTCCCCTGCGGGACCCCGCAGCTCTGAGCTGTGCTGACTGCCAGCTGACTGTGAGAGAGGGGTGCCCCAAATGGTGTTGGGGTCATCTCAGGGCTGTTTGACAGCTTGAGGGTGCTTGTGGGCTGCTGGGGCTTGCACACCTCTCCGCAGAGATGCTACACAGAGCTTTCCAGGCATTGGGAATTTTTGGCCACTGGGGGAGGAAAACAGCTTCTGAAAGGATGTGAGAAGCATTTTTTCAACGAGGGGCTGCAGCAGAGCTGTGCCTCCGAAGAGAGTAGCAGGCAGGCTGTGATCTGCATGGTGTTTATTGTGCAGCAGTGGAGCAATGGAGCAGTGCCCTCCTGCGGCAGTGGCCCAGCTGCTGGAGCTACTCGGGCACCAAAGGGGTTTTGGTCTCCTGTACATTGTGCTCCTTCTCCAACAGGGCCTTGAGCTTGTGGTAATACACCTTGCAGCTATAGCCCTCCTGGGAGCTGCACTGGACATGGTTCTTGACTGAGCACAGCGTGGGGAAGATGCGGCAGCATGACATGCACTTGTAGCCGTGCTTTGGTGCATGCTGCTCCAAGGAAGCTGGAAGGATGTCTCCGGTGGTGATACTGACCCTGTTGCTGGCACTCTCCGGGGTCTGGAGCTCCTCTGAAGAGCAGGACAAAGAGGCGAGGGCCTCCAAGAGGTTTTTGGGATCCTCAGACTCCCAGGTGCTACTGAGTGGACAGGAGGAGAGGTGCTGCTGAGAGGCTGCTTTGGTGCAGATGAGGTAGCTGTACGGTGAGCACCAAGGTCTGTAGATGGTGCGGGCAGGGAGCTCGCTGCCTGCTGAGGCTGTGGAGCTGCGGTCTGCAGAGGGAAGGGGCAAGAGTGAGTCAGGGTCACTGCGTGAGCACGGGCACCCATGGGGATGGGAGTGGTGCTGGAGACCCACAAGGAGTCCCACCCTTGGCATAGTGTTCAGTAGAGCCCTTCTCTGCCCAGGGCTCTGGCTGATGGGTTGGTCTGTCTCACTCTGTGCGTTGTGGAGGTGACTGCCTCTGTCACCAGACATCCCCCCAGCACTGAGAGCTCACCCAGCAGCCAGCTGGAGCTGTCCCATGAAGTGCTGTCCTGACATAGGGGCAGAGCTGGGGGCTGTGAGCTGGAGCAGTTGGAGGCAGCATCCCCAGCTTTCAAGGTTCCTGCTGGGAAGACGTAAGGGTGAAAAGCACCATTGTGCAGAGGTGGACTGCAACAGCAGGATTCCCCTTCCCATTCCTAGAATGCACCTTCTGCCATAAGGGCAGTTACCCCTCTCCTGCCCACGCAGGCAGGTACATCCAGCCAGACCCCTCCTTGCTCCCCTGCCTGGATGCATCCTCGGTGCTCACCAGGCAGGCTGCACTGATCCCAGGAGAGAGTTGCCTCCAGGTTGCCTCTTCTGGGAGCATGGGGCATGGCCTCAATCAAAATAGCTGGCATGAAAAATCCATCCATTACCCCTGTGATGTTCTTTGTTGAGGCCCCAGAATCCACCAGCTGGCATTGCTAATGGCTGATGTCACACAGCAGAATATTTTTGGAACGCAAGGTTCTGCCCACCTCAGGGTTCTGGGAACCTGATGACTGAGGTGATGCTTGCTGGCTCCGTCCTCAGGGCTGGTGGGGAGCAAGGGGCAAGGTGTAGGGACTCAGTCTATTCAAGCTGAGGCCAGTTGAGCATGGGGTGGTGTGGTAATGTGAGATTTTGCACACACATGGCTCCAGCGACTTGGCCATAGCAAGGTGAGTGAGCAGTAGAAAGTGCCACTTGAGGATGTACAGTTCAGAGCCCAGGCGGTGGGTACCCCAGCAAATGAGGGATCCTGGGGGGGTCCCCTTGCTATATCCCTTGACAAACCTTCTCTCTCTTTCTTTCCACAATCTGCTTCCCAAGCTGCTTGGTGTCAGGTAAGAGATGTCGTCAGTGTGCTGGTGGCAGCAATGTGGTGCCCTGAGATTGTTGCTCCCCTACTATGTCCTCACGGCATGCACAACACAGCTGTGGGGCTACAGAAACGGTCTTTCTGTCCCCATATGGTGTCCTCCCCATGCTGCTGGGAGGCAGCCCTGGGATGATCAAGTCCCCGCATCCTGCCTCATAGCCACTCTCTGCTTCCTTTCTTTTCCAGTGGACCATAGTATGTTTGAGAACACCAGTGCTGCCACGGCACCCACCCCACGCCTGCAGCACGTTCCCACTGGTGCCTTGCCACAGCCCTCCCGCCCCGCTGGCAGCCAGCACCTTCGTAACCTGGGCAAGGCCGTGGGGGCCAAGATGAACGACTTCCTGCGCCGCAAGGAGCCGGCTGGACCCCCTGACGTGGGAGTGATGGAGGTGAACACCAGCGCCGGTGCCGCACTGGGCATGGGGCAGTCAGCAAGCGAGGATGGGTGAGTGTCCCTGCCCTGCACAACCCACGGTAGAGTCCTTTGGGTTGGAAAGCATCACTGCCTCTCTCTGCTTGCAGGAGCATGGGGCTGGATGCTTTTCCCCGGCTGGACCCCCCACCTCCCATCACCAAGAAGCGGACACCACGTGCCCTGAAGACCCCGCAGGACATGCTCATTGCACCTCAGCCAGAGGGCAGCAGCACAGAGGAGCCCCATGAGCCACCTGCAGCACACGCCAACCTCGTGGAGGAGTGGCCAGGAGTGAGGGACATTTCCCCTGCGGAGCACCCCGGGGTGCTCAGTACGACCGGCATCCCAGGGCCGAGTGGGGACCAGCCCACCGCTGTCCTCCCTGTGCCTGACCTCATCCATAAGGGTGGCCTGGAGACCCCACCTTGCACGGAGAAGCCCCTCCGGGAAGTGGGCCTGGAGCAGGAGTTGTCAGGGAGTGCAGGGCATGCAGAGCCATGTACCCCCAGCCGGGAAGCAGAGGGTCCCCATCCTGACCTGCTGTCTTTCGAATAGCAGCGGGCAAAGGGCACTGAGGGGGCTGGCTCTCCCAAACACCTCTCTCTCTGCCACATGCTGTTCTTGGGGTCGTTATTTTGGGGAGAGTAGAGCCCCAGGGCAGCAGGAGGCATCTCTGAAACGGCCTGCGGTGCAGGGATCCTCCACCCCCCACCTCATCTCTTCTCCCCAGGCACCCCGGAGGAGCAGAGCCTGACTCGGGCAGCCGCAGGAGCACCGGCTCCCTGCCCACACCTCTGTCCCACCACCGCCTGTGCCCGCAGGCTCTCATAGCCCGGAGGTGCCCCTATGCACAGCAGGGGTTATCCACACGGGAACTGGCAAACCAGCGGCTGTGGGCAGCACTTCTGACCCGGAGCACAGCGGTGGCTTCGAGGGGGTTACGGTGAAGGTTACGGTGGGGATTGTGATGGGGATTATGGTGGGGGTTATGATGGGGGTTGTGATGGGGTTATGACGGGGGTCATGGGGAGGGTGCGTCCGGGGGGAAAGCGATCACTGTGTCACCCACCCCAGCCGCACAGCTGCGTCCCACCCCCGGCCCTGAGGCCAGCGGTGCCGGCGGCACCCTCTATTTATGTTGTCTGGGGTGTGTACGTAGTTTGGGATAAAAGATGCGAATTGCACAATAAAGGTTTTTTTTTGTAACCCACCGACGCGCGGAGCGCCCGCGCAAATTGGGCGGGGCGGGGCCAGGAAAGCGGGGCGGGGTGAGTGGGCGTGGCCTGGGGGTGCGGTGCCCCGCCTCTCCCCGCCTCACTTCCGGTGTCATGGCGGCCGCAGAGCGGCGTCGGCCGGGCCGGGGTGCGGGCGCGGGGCGGGCGTCGGCGCGGCGAGGCGGCGGTAACAGCGGTAGCGGCGGGGCGATGTGAGCGGGCGGCGCCATGTCGGGGTGCGTGTGGGGCGCGGCGCCGCCGCTGCTGCTGGAGGCGCTGGGCCGGCTGTGGGAAGTGCAGGCGCCGCTGGGCAGCGGCTCCTCGGCCTCCGTGTACCGGGTGCGCTGCTGCGGGGACCCGCGGGCCCCTCCCGGCGCCGTTAAGGAGTTCGTGCCGCCCCCGGCCCGGCCCGGCCCCGCGCGCCGCCCCGGCGCCCGCCCGCCCGCCGCCGACTGCGCCGAGTACGGCTTCCGCAAGGAGCGCGCCGCGCTCGAGCAACTCCGCGGGCACCGCAACATCGGTAACGGCCGCCCTTCCCTCCTCCCCCCCCTCTCCTAGGGCGCTCTGGGGATACGAGGCCTCGGCCCCACGGGGGCTGTGGCTGCAGGGTGGGCACGGGGGGCGGCCTGGGATGGGATCCCCTGACGGCGGCCTTCTTCCTGGAGGCTCCCTAGGCCGCCGGGGCAGGAGGTATCGCCCTCGCTGGCAGGGCTGCCCCTGTCGGCTGCGCCACACGCGGGGGGGGCTGTGGGTGGGTTTCTCCTGGGCTCCGTTCTCTAGGTGTCGTACGGCGCTGCCTGCCGCGGCTCGGTGGGCAGCGATAGGGAGGAGCGCCATCGCTGTGTGGTTGCTTCTGACCGAGGTTTACGACCTGTCTCGCTGCAGTGACTCTGTACGGCGTGTTCACCAACCACTACTCGGCCAACGGCCCGTCCCGCTGCCTGCTGCTGGAGCTGCTGGATATCAGCGTGTCCGAGCTGCTGCTGCACTCCAGCAACCAGGGCTGCTCCATGTGGATGATCCAGCACTGCGCCCGCGATGTCCTGGAAGCCCTGGCCTTCTTGCACCACAAAGGCTACGTGCACGCAGACCTCAAGCCACGCAACATCCTGTGGAGCGCGGAGGAGGAGTGCTTTAAGCTCATCGACTTTGGACTTAGCTTCAAAGAGGGGAATCAGGTTTGGAATGCTCTGCTCTCAAAGGCAGTTGCTCTGTCTTGAGCTGTGCAGCTCTGTGCTGCTTTCAGCTGCTGGGTGTAGGAGGGGAGGTAGCATGGTCAGAATGGACTGGTGCTGAGGGTTTCCTGGAAGGCTGAACTGTTAGCTGGGTCAGGAAACAGAAGCTGTGATCCCATTCCCTGTGCATGTCTCTGGTTAGCGTCAGTGTCTATGCACAGTTGTGGATTCCAGAGTTAATGATACAACTTCCTGGAAAGTTTGCTGTTTTTTACGTGGTCAGACTGGTGGGAGCAGCTAGCTCTGTCAGATCTCCTTTTATCATCTCGTATCGCATGTAGTAGTAATCCAGGCTTTGCTGTCAGCCAGTTGCATCATCCCTAGCAGCGTCCTTGCTCTTGTCTTTACTTTCATCTTATCTTCAGCAGCTTCCCTTTCTATTATCCTGGATGCTTCTTTCCCACGTCATTGTGCTGACCAAAGCCCTGGCCGTGGCTAGGTGGCGTTTGTTCTTTCCAACATGGTCAGGTCTGTGCCTGCTTTGTGCTACTTTCCTTCCCTCACTGTCACTTGTTTGTTTTGGTGACAGGCTGTTTTTGTAAATTTGTTTTTGTAAATTTGTTTTTGCCCCTTTTATTCTCTTCTGTGGCCTCCGTTGAAAGCATGGACTGCTTGACTTTCTGCCGATAGCCTCAGGAGGTTCTGCAGTTGGCTCGATGGAACTGTCTTTCATCTCTCCTGGTAACCTTCTCTGAGGGGTATCAGGAATCTGATCTGATCTGAATTCTCATCAGATAGCCTCTTAATAAATGAGCCTTTAGTCACAGGGTGGTAGGTGGTGAGTGAGCTGTGACTCTTCTTTACACGCATCCTGCCTTGTCCCTTTCCTCACCCTCAGAGCATGTCAGAGATCATACATTCACATATTTCTTTGACTGGTCTACCCGGTATTGACAGTTAGGCTCACTGATCTGTGAATATCTGAGAACTGCGTGGGCGACCTGTCTGAATTCTTTGGTACGGCTGATTTGAATGTGTGTGCTTAGCAGCTTCTCCTTGTTGTGTTTGGTTTTCCCACATTCTTGGCTGTACACCATTTCATGCTGGTAATCTGTCGCTATCAGCAGAAACCACTCTTCTGGTGTCCTGTGTCTGATGCAGATATATTTTTTTCCTTCAGGTCTGTGTTTTGCTGCTTGCTCAGTGAGTTGCATCTTAATAGTTGACCGTGTTTTATTTGCTTCCACCATTCCTTCCAATCTGCTCTCTTTGGGCTGATTTTCTTTCTCTGATTCTTGTAATTACTCTGGCTGTTGGGATGAACCATCTGACCCTGCTTTGAATATGTACTGGATGTCAGCCTCTATTCTCCGCCCCTGCTCAGCAGAATATATGTGTGAATTTCTTATCTTAGTCAAGACCATGTTCCTCACACTTCTGACAGCTCTGCCAGCGTTATCCTTACGTAATTTTTCTACAGTTACTGTTTAACAGGGAATGGCTGTACACAGAGCAAGGTCTCAACCACGTAAATCTCTCAACATATTTCACATGGTAGGAGTGAAATTCCATCTCTCTATTTTTGCCAGTGGCAATGACCACTGTGTTTTCTGCATCTTGAAACGTCCTTTAGTGGGGCTGCTGAACTGCTGCTTTCACCTTGCTAGAGGTTCTGTTCTTTGTTGATCAGAGAGGGGTACCCTACTGTGCAGTTTATCTTTTTTGGTTCATGAAATGCTGCTGAGCTCTGTTGCTTATAAATGCTCTTCGTAGACTTTATTTTCAATTGGAGAAGCAGGTTGTTTTGGTTTTAATATATCCCCTATGTGAGAATTCTCAGTCTTGTGCCTTGTCCAGGAAGTAGTCTCATATTCTTCTGTTGTTCCTTGAGTTACATCAGTGTATTATTGAACAGATACTGGACAGAGGATGACTAGACAAAGCCATGTCTGTCTGGTGTAGTGTTGGCTGTGGGTAGGAGCTTGGATGGGAAACTTTCAGAGCTGCCCCCCAACCCTCACAACAGCCCTCGTGTGATTCTGTCATTGTCTTGTTTTAACTAGGCAGTGGGTGGGTATTTTCCTTTGCCAGCCACAGCAGCTGAGCAAGTATTGATTGCTGCAGCACTTCTGACTGCAAGGGGAGAGAAGGAAGAGGTGCGTGGGAAGCAGCTTTGATAATTCCTCATCTGGGTGTTGAATGCCTGCTTCATCCTTCTAATATTTTGTTCTGGGGATCATCGTTGCTTAAATAATGAAGGCTGTTACTGATCCTCACTGTTCAGACTGAGCTGCTTGTGCTCTGGTACATGGAGCACATTTTGTATGTTCCATCCACCCTTATTCTGAAACTTCCAATGTCCTCTGTACATGCAATGTGACATCCAGCTTCTTTCTCCTAGCAGTGCTGTAATTCAGAGAGCTCAGGTGTTAGTGGGATGACTGCTGTGTTGCTGGGGGGTGTTTTCTCTTCCAGGTAGTCTTACTGTTTTGTGTTCTTTTTCCCATCATCAACACAGCAGTGCATCAGGTTGAGCTGCCTTCTGACCACACAGTACTGACTGTACTATGCTTTCAGTAAATTTAGCAACAGTATTTTGGTGACCCATCTGTAAACTCATTTGAGAGTAGAGCACTTGTATCTGTGGAATTAACTTCATGTGTTTGCTTGGTCTTTTGTAGGATGTGAAATATATTCAAACAGACGGGTATCGGGCTCCAGAGGCAGAACTGCAGAACTGCCTAGCACAGGCAGGGCTCCAGAGTGAGACGGAGTGTACCTCTGCTGTGGATCTGTGGAGTCTGGGAATCGTTTTACTGGAAATGTTCTCAGGAATGAAACTGAAACATACAGTCCAATCTCAGGAATGGAAGGTGAGCAAGAACTGCTGCTGGCTTACACCAAACGAGTTCTCCTCCTGCTTATTTGTACCTTGGATTTGTAAGGTAGCACCTGGCAACTAGAAAGTATTTCCTTGATGTTTCTATAATCCTATTGACCTGGGAATTAAGATTTCAAAGCCTTAAAGACCTCTGGGCTCTGTAGGACTGTCTGAACACTGTCTGTGCTCAGCCTACTGAAATTGCACAGCTCCAGGACTCTGTTTCTAGAGCCTGTCTCTCCTCACGAGCTGTGAGGTGAATTTTTCTGACTGTAGTGTTGCACAGATGGAAGAATGAAATAGCTAGGTGGTGACTAGTTTAGCAGCACCATGCTGCTCAACAATTATTTGCTGTTTCTACCATAAAGTCTAACTCTGGACCCTTTCTAGCCTAACCTGCTGTAGGGAGCCCACTTGTGCAGGAGGGTTGGACTAGGCAATCTCCAGAGGTCCCTTCCAGCCTGTGTGTTTCTGTGATTCTGTGTTAGCTCTAATGTGGGATTTTTTTCTCCTACGTCTTTATCCTGAGAAAACAAGAGGAAGGCTCTGTATTATGAGCCTTGAGCCGGATTCTGTCCTCTCCTTTCTGTGAATAACTTTGTTTCCTGCTTCCCTTCCCAGTAACAGTATCCTTTCAACATCATAAGGTTCTCAGTGAGAACAAATCTGTGTACACATGACGCTTTCCAGCTTTCACGTGGGCAAATGACTCAATCTGAGGTGAGCCTGCAGCATCAGGGATCTCTAGTGTAACACCAGAGTGTCGGAGCCCTCTGCATCCAGTTCAGAAAACGATGCTTAACCCAGCTCTCCCAGAACCTAGGTTATTGCAAGCTTTGCACTGTTATTTGCTTTCATCCCTAATGACTGCTGCTGCTTCTTTTCAGACAAACAGTTCTGCCATCATTGATCGCATTTTTGCCAGTGAAGGGGTGGTTAATTCAGCCATTCCAGCTTATCACCTCAGAGACCTTATTAAAAGGTACCTTTACTGCATTTTATGAAATGTTGCTTAAAGATGTGTCCTGTGAAGTCTTGTGCCTCGCTCTTGGCAACTTAAAGCCTACTCCCACCACTTTTTCTTTATTATTAAATGCCCTTGTCACTGTGCTAGTAACAAGTGCAAGCATTATCTGTGTCAGCACTTCACACTTCACACCAGTGAGTCTGTATTTGGATAAAACTGGAAAAGTAACAGTGCAGTGAAAACTTTGCTGCTTTAGGCGGACTACTGTGAGAAACAAAAAAGGGGCAGACAGGATTCAAATGTATTTGTGCAACTCTGTGCTGAGAGGTCTGCAGAAGAGATCTTCCTGACTTGTTACAGTTCTTTGAAGCTGCAGAGTGTATGAAGCCACATCTTGGCAGAGAGCCACTTCTCAAGTTCAGTTGGGGATGCTCTCAGGCAAGCCCTGGGTTATTAGCTGCTTTGAATCCCATTTGTGACAAGATGTGGGAGCTCCTTGGAATGCAGTCATTTTTGTGTGACTGTAGATGTATGTATGTCTGAGACAAGGGTGGAATAGCTTGGAGAGGTGAAGCTGGAACATATAGTGTTCATTGTAAACCTGTAAGTGAGAAACTTCCTTAACTTGGTGTTGAAATGCATCTCAGAGCAACACCTCTTGTATTATGCTTTGCAGATGCTCTCAAGGAATCCTTCTGGTGTGATTAAGCTGTGAATTGGAAGACGTGCTCTTGACTGTTCTTTTTGTACCATAAGTGCCCTAAAGATAGGATATTCCTCAGTACTGCCTTCTAGCCCAAATTGAATTTGTTGATGAAAGAATGTTGAATGCAAGAGCATAAGGATGTCTTTTCTCTTCCAGCATGCTTCATTGTGACCAAGGCAAGCGAGCCTCTGCTGAAAAGGCTTTGTGCAGCCCATTCTTCAGCATTCCCTTTGGTAAGCTGTGCACGTTGTCTTTGCTCACATGGTTGTGCATTTGTTTCCTGTCTTGTCCTCATTGCTGCTGGTTTTGTGGCACTTGTCAGACCTCTGGTACTGCAGCAGGCAGGTCAAGTGCTGTCCTTGCTCTCAGCACTGCTCTGTCCCAGTGGATGTGTGGGCTGTCACTTTTCCTTCCCAGTAGATTCTGCTCAGGTTTAACTGACTGAGAATGCACTGACAGCCTTATTCAACTAAGGGGACAGAAATAACCAAGGTACTTAACTGGAATTATGACCATTAAGGTGCTTTTGAAGCGTGCAATGCTATTTATGGTAGGTGGATGGATTTTACTATGCTAACAGATTCCCAGGTCAGAAGCCAGGAATATGAGCAATAGCTGGTGGTCGCATCTGCTGCTGCCTCCTCTTTGCAGGCTGAGCAGTCCCAATGTGTTCTCACAGTGCTGGAGCCCATCTTGGCCCTGGAAAGCAGGGAGCAAGTCAGGGCCTGCCTTTTGTGGTGTCCATGTGGCAGGTCAGACAGATGCCACCTCTCTTTGATCTGAAGATTTCTCTTCAATAGAGAAAAAAGGTGGTGTATCCCCAGGACCCTCCCTGTGTGGGTTGCAGGCTGTCAGCAAAAGATGGGCTGGGACAGTCCTGTTCAGGCTCATACCCCTCTGCATTTCATGTTCCAAAAGCAATACGGTAGCACTGTTCAGAGCTTCCCTGCTCTCAGGAGCACTGGTGAAAAGCTCCACGTCCATCTTTTCTGCAGCATAAATCAATGCATCCAGCTTCTTGATGGGCTAGCATTTTCCCTTAAATCGGAGCCCTACTTTTCCTAAGCTACTTGCTGTAGCTTGCAGTGAAAGCTGTTAAATATTGCATCTTCTGAGGTTGCGTTTAGATGGTGGGGTCTCTGCATATTGAGCAGAAGTAACAAACTCATTCCTGTTTTAAAACTTCTCTCGCATTTCGGAAACCGTGACTGTTGTAATCAAAGCCACCTTCCATAAAAGGAGTTGAACCTTTCTGCCAGACTTGCTTTAGAGCAGAGGGAATAGTATATTGGCATTGCTTTCTGGTCTCATTTTGAACACACAGGCCTTAAACTGTACCTGTTTGTACTGGGAAGGTGCTTCTGTGGTTAGTGCTACAAGATTATACAACAGCTTCAATTTTTCTTAGTTGTTGGTTGTCTTTGCCCAGGTTATACGTAAGCATGTCTGCACAAAGAAGCATTTACAGTTGCTTTCCTACGAAGGCAGAATATGATCCGTTGTTACCTTTCACTTGGACACAGCTGTTCTGTTTAGAGCAAAGACAGCTGAGAATGGCTTTCCTTGTCATTTACAGCCAAGTCTTTACTTCCCAATCCCTCAGCTCCTTTCCTGAATTGCTTGTAGACCGCAGCATGCTGTGTTGTCAGTGTGGTTGGTATCATCTGAAACTGAATAGGAGCATTGCTGCTAGGCAAAAAGTACACCCTAGGACAGAAAAGTATTGCAAGAAATGCATTTGTCAGGCTCTGAGTTGTAGGTGTTTGTTTGTCTCCCTTCTCTTGATTTCTGCTCCTGTAAAGTTGTTCACAGGATCTCACCTTCATTATGTGGCCTGAACTTGTTAGCACTGCTTGATGTAATTCATCATTTTCCCTTTTTCTGCTGCAAGATCGTGTGCAGGTCTTCAACATGTTGCATTTGGATTTTGAAGATGTTAAGGGAAGAACTTGAATATAGTGTAGAATCAGCTGAGCCTTGTGCCTTAGCATAGCTTAAGAACTGAAGTTATACAAGCTGTCTGGCTTGTTTCTAGCTTGTCTGGTACCAGTAACAGGAGGAGCAGGTTGCAGAATAGTTCTTTCATCTTCTCTCATTGCTGTATATAAGGGGTAGTTTGCTCAACTATCATAGCCCTTGAGGTCTCATCAAGTTCTAAATCTGAGCTAAGCAGGCACAATGCTAGTCTTAATTGCTGTTAGCTTGGTAATTTCAAAAGCAGTTTCAAGTGCTGGCCTCAGTATAATTGCAGACTGTACTGAATCCTTTGGGAGAATCTATCTGTGCACAGGCAGATATGTTGGAAACGGGGAAAATACATTGTCTGTGTAAGTGCAGGTAATAATAGATGGAAGCAACGCTGTATTGCAAAGAGCAGCCAGTTCTTGTGTATGACAGGAGTGCATGTTGAATCAGCTTTGTCTTTGTGCTCCTTTGATTTCTTTTGTTTTCTCTAACTCTGTGGGTGTCAAACAGCTCCCCATATTGAAGATTTGGTGATGCTCCCCACACCTGTGCTGAGGCTGCTGAATGTTCTAAGCGATGCTTCTCTGCAGAGTGAAGAAGAATATGAAGGTTGGTATGTGTGCTCTGCATTTCCCACGTAGCAATGTCCTCTTAACTGTTTTGTTTGGATTTGGTGATGAGAGAGCAACCAGAGGAGCAATTAACAGGCGCAAGAATAATGAGCTTCTCAGCTGAGCTCTGATACCAAAAGGGTCAGCTGTGCCAACAAAAAGTAGGCTAAGACTGAAAGATTGAGCCAGAATGCAGAGCTTATAGGAATTCTTAAAGAATCCCAGGTATAAAAAAAATTTCCTATCTGTTGAAGTGCTTACAGAACCTGTAATGTGTTTGTGGCTCTGAGCTTCTGCAGAACGTGCACAGGATGCTGTGGAGCCCAGGAGCAGGATCCTCAATAGTTTACTGGTTGACTTACCCAAGATCTCATAAGAGAACTGAAATAAATTGAGTTCTTAAACTGTAACAAAGCTATACTTGATAGGTAACAAGGCATGCTTGTGGAATTTACTTTTCTGCTTGCTTTCCAATCCCAGTGAGTGGGCACAAGCTAGAGATCTCAGGGGATAGAAGTTTAAAAGGCTGTGTTCCGCTCACATAAAGACTGCTTTGTAGCAGCTACTTTAGATCCCTTCCTCCAAGTGCCATAACCAAAAATAAGTCACAAATTCTGAACGATTTAGCTACTGGAAGGCCAGGCTTCACGTGCAAGGAGAAGTACTGTCTGTTCTCAAGGATTCCCTGCCTGCACGTCTGTGACTGGGGCTCAGTTCAGACACTCTCTTGTTATATGTGGCTGTTGAGCAATATCAATTTCTGTGGTGGGAATTCTTGATCATTGATTTTAAATTGGAGAGGAAAAGATTGTGTTGACTGGAAGTTCTGGATGTGTTCATTTAGCCTTTGGTTGTTTCTTAGCACATTCTAGTTTGCAAAGTGAAAGACAGCCAGCTCTTTCCTTTTCAGATATCCTGGAAGACATAAGGGAGGAGTGTCAGAAATATGGACCAGTGGTTTCCTTGCTTATTCCAAAGGAAAATCCTGGTAAAGGCCAAGTAAGTCAATGGAGGGAAGAAGCTGTGCATTCATTCTCATGGTCACTCTGTGTGCTGCAGGACTGCTTTCTCAGCTCCTGACTGGCAACAGTGCTAAAAATAACTGGTTGTCTTGAAGGACAGCACACGTTCCTTCCCAGATATGCAGAGTTCCCTAACCTGAGAGGACCCCAAAAACAGCTTTAGGAGAGGGTCTGGAATATGGGAGAGAATGAAAGAAACCAATGCGTAGGAGAGGAAGTGTTGAGGATGCAGAGCATTACCATAATTTCTCCCACCTTACAAAACACACTGTCTGCAGAAATGAGGAGTGAGAATTGAAATTGCAGCTCAGAGGTGCATCTTCTTCCTTTTTAGCTCCACTGCCTTGGATTCCTCCACAGATGGAGGGGGAAAAATTTGCTTAGAGACTGTTTTCTCAGTTGCAGAGTTGGGAGGGGGGCAGGTGGCATGGTGCCCCAGGGGCATTACTTTTCCTCTCTCTTTTTCAGGTCTTTGTTGAATATGCAAATGCTGGTGATTCCAAAGCTGCCCAAAAAATGCTGACTGGAAAGATTTTTGATGGCAAGTTTGTTGTGGCTACGTTTTACCCACTGAGTGCCTATAAGAGAGGATATCTGTACCAAAACTTGCTGTAGGCAGTAGCAACAATCAGGAGAGTTGTCTCACTCCTCTTCCTCACGTATTTTACAGTTGAATGTACAAAAGAGCTTCCTAGCCCTGCTTCTGAGTCATCTGTAAAGGAGAGATGCAAAGGACTGAAACGGGCTTTGAAACCTTTACTGCTGCTTTGTGATGTGCAGAGGAGGCCTGGATGGCTTTAAGCGTGTGCTTGTGTGTGTGTATGTGTGTGTAGTGCTTGCTTGTTTACATTGGATGTTTGGCTTTGCCTGCCCCTGCGGGCACTGCGGTGACTGGAAGGTGGCTGCGGGAGCCTTGCAGGCAGAGCAGGTCTCAGCAAGCACTTTCAAATGATGGAAGTGAGACCACTGAATGTCCTGGCCTTAGCCTGGTTTTGCTCTGCAGAGAGGATTTCTTTATTAAGCTTTCCTATGATACCTGTGCTCTCCTCTAATGGGGAGGAAGAAGGCTTCCCTGCCTTGCTGTTTGTGGTGAATCGAGCAGAAGCACCATTCTTATCCTCTCAAGATTGTATTGGGAAGACTTTGAGTCTCCACTTCCCTTAGAGCAAAAGGAAGGAAGCAGGAAAATGGTACCTGCTGAGCCTGCAGTGCTACCCTGTCACTGACTGGTGATCTGAGAAGAGCCGCATGTCTCACCTGGCACAGATGGCATGCTGGGCTCGGGGAGCGAGGGATGGCTGAGCTGAACTTGTGTGTGTGGGATAGGCAGGGACTGACTGGGTGTGGTTAAATGTCGTCAGAGCAGTGCCAGCCTCAGTCCCAACACAACCTGTAAGCACTTTGTAGCCTGAGGTGATGTGAAAACTGTCACATGGAGTCATCCTTCTAGCCTGCACCCTGTGCTGGCACTGACGCTCTGAGCTCTGATGCCAAATCATCTGTAATATGCAAGTGTCTTCAGGTGATGTTTTTGGAAAGGGGTGTGCAGTATTCTTTGTGTGTCTGCAGGACTTCTGCCTGAGAGTCTTACAAGAAATAATGTATTTGTCTGTTGTAGGTTCCACGCTTGGCTTTTCTGTGTTGTGCATTTTGTTTTTGCGTTAACCCACTAGACTTGTTGTAGATTAGAAGCACTGACACTTTTGGTCCTTAATAGGTTGCACAAAGGGCCTGAGGCAATCTGAGATCCTGTTTGGAAAGGGCTTGGTCAGTAATGACTCTTAACTGGCCAGATTGATGTCTTTCCCAGTGTCAGGGACAACAGCCACAGGCTTCTGGAGAAAGAACCTGGGTGAGCAGCATCACCACTCCCCTCTCTGCTCATGTGGCTTTAATGCACAGGCAAAAGATCCCTAGAGCAGCTGCTAGCATGGAGCAGCCAGATGGTTGCTTCTCAGGGGCACACAGACCCATGTCTGTGTGCAGGGACAGACAGCCCTGCACAGAGGGGAATAGCATATTCCAGCGTGCAGCCCTGGTACCAGGTTAGTGATGAGGAGAGCCCTCCTATCACAAACCCTCCTGAATTCTTTTCTCCAGCTGGAATACTTGAAGGCAGCTGCCCAAAACTGTCTCTGGCAGTTAATAATACCTGAATTACCTTGCAGTTTACTTCCTTGCAGTTTACTTCTTGCATCTTGCTGATGCTGGACTTGCTGGAATCCTGCACTTAAATGGTCCTCCTGATTTTTGCCCTGTGTGTGCATGTGTGCAGTGTGTTGGAAGAACCAACATCTGTAGCGTTTCCCTAGTCTCTGTGCTGGCGTGGAGGCCTGTCTACTACAGCCCTTGCCAAACTTACCCAGAAAGGACCAATCTCTGAATTTTCTGTAGCCTTTGAGGTGGTAGATTTTCCAGGAATAAAAATCCCACGGTGTGTTTTAAGGTATGATTTGCTGATCAGACTGTACCCAGAATTATACTACTTTGGTGTACGTAGCTGTAAAGCAGCTTTGCTTAGATGGGGTGTGTGATTCATTGCTTTTAATTCAGCTGTCCTTGCAGTGAAGCAGCTTTATTGTCTGGGAGGATCCAGATGATGGTTGGATTAGGGTTTTTTCCTATGTGAAGAGCAGTGTTTAATTTGTATCAAGTGCTCCAAATGTTGCTAGGTAGTAACTGACCTCCTCAGATCTGAGTTTTTGCTGTCTCTGGCAGGCTTGGCCATTGGTACCGGCACTTTGGCCCAGGAATTCCCAGGTTCAGTGCCATTATGTCAGCAGCACAGAGCTGGCTGCGTTGTGCCTCAGCTGGCAGAGGCAGGGCTGAGGGATCTGCCCAGCTAAGTGTCAGCCATGGTAGCATGGAAGGCTCTCAGCGATGGTGGGACCTGTGCATCTCTCCAGTGCTGGGAGCTGCTCTGCTCTCTTTCAAGCTTATCTCCTTTTCAGGCAGTTGGCTTTGAATTTTTGGTTAAAGGTGAGAGCTGTGCCAGGAACTACATACATCTGAAGATGCAAACTCCTGCCGACACATTTTCTCACTCAATGAGACCAGGCTTGAGTGCTGATTCGAGCAAAAAACCTAAGGCTGTTGGTTTTTTTTGTTCCCTGCTGGCTGGAGTTGAAGATGCTGTCACTGGATCCAGTCCCTGACTTTTCTCTGCAGATGCTGATCTCTGTCACTGGGTCCAGTCCCTGACTTTTCCCTGCAGGCTGCAGGGAGGTGTAGAAATTCCTCAGAACAGAAGTATTTTAGCATTATCTGTCACCATCTGCCTGTAGCTTGATAGAAGAACGCTCTGAAACTCACCCTGGTGTCTCAGTGAGCTCTTGGTGGTTTGGCATAAGTTGCAGCCCTGCTAAAGCCTGTGTTCCTTAACTCTAGATTGTACCTGAGTGTGCGTGATGGTTTGATCTAAAGTGACTGTTTGGCTGTGGATGGGCATGGCTCTCCTTGTCTCACAGTACTACTTGCTGAAGGGGTGAGGTGATGAGGTTTTCCCGCAGATGCTTGCAGGTTTCTTGGTCTGTGCTGCAGGTAGAGCTTCCTCCTATGAGCTGTCCTTCTCCACAACAGTGCTGGGTCTTTCCCTGGTGCTGCAGCTGTCACTGGGGTCATGTTCCCAGTGCAAGCTGTGGAGCTCTTGCAGTGTCTGGAGAGGAAATTGTGGCTGGGAGAAGGTATCATCTGGGGAGAAACCTGCTTCAGGGAAAAGGATGAAAGGTGAAGTCTCTGGAGACAGCAAAGCTGTGAGCGGTGTCCCTGTGCAGGGCTTTTCCTGGCTCTTAAAGCTGAGGGCCGAAGGTGGAATGAAATCCAGCAGCCAGTTTCAGCTGCTGTGTGCGTGCATGTGTGCGAGCAGGGTGAGAGATAAAGTTCTTTGCGCTTCCAGCTCTTTATTACATCCAGGGAGAGTAACTCTGGGTCACTGCTTGAGGCACGGCCAGATCCCATCTTCATTTCCAGCTCCATCCCCGCTGCTCTCAGCACGGTGCCGGCACGGCACACCTTGGCTCGTCCTCCTCGAGCACTCGGCGCAGCCCCTCCTCCCCCTCTCCGGATCCGTGACCTCGCTCTCCATCCGGGTTAGGTGTGAGCCGTTGTACCCCGTCACGCTGAGCGGCCGTGCGCTCGTTCCCTCCCCGATGATCAATAAATGACGCTTGGAGACACGGCAGCGTGCAGCCAGCTTCATTCGCGCGTCATCCACATGACGGGGCCGGGAGGCGGCGGGACCGCGCCGGATTTGCGGCTCCCTGCGGGAGCGGTGCCTCACGGCTGCCCGTAAGCGGGGGCTGAGGGCCAGGCCGCGTTGCGCAACCGCCCCGTCCTCACGGCGGCTCCTCGGCGAGGGGGCGCGGCCCCTGCGAAATGACGCGCGTGGCGCCACGAGCTGCTGTGAGCGCGGCCGGTGAGGCCGGCTGCCTGCGGGACGGCCCCGCTTTCCGCTGGGTCCGCACTGGGTCTCCGTGCGCTCGGAGCGGGCCGCCCTCCCGGGGCCGCGCGGCTTTCTTCCCGCTGGGCCCGCACGCTCCGCCGACGTGGCGCCCGTTGCCATGGCGGCCCGTCGCTCCCGCCCCCCACCCCTCTATCGCTGCTCTCATTGGCCGAGGTTCGGGGGGCTGCGCGTGACCCCGGCTCCGATTGGCGGCATCACGAGGCGGGCGGGCCAGTGAGGACGCGCGGGGCGGTTCCGCCTCCGCCCGCCATTGGCTGCGCGGCGGCGGAGGCTATAAAAGGGGCGGCCGGCGGCGGCGGCGCCGTGCGGAGGGATGGAGGCGGCGGGCGAGGGGGACGTGGCGGGGCTGCGGCGGCGGCTGGCGGCGGGCGGGCAGGACCACGTGCTGCGCTTCTGGCCGGAGCTGGGCGCGGCGGAGCGCCGGGCGCTGGCGGCCGAGCTGAGCGCCATGGACGTGGCCGAGATCAACCGCTTCTTCCGCCGGGCGCGGGGCGGCGGCGCCGGCGGAACGGTGGCGGCGGGGCCGGACGCGCGGCTGGAGCCGGTACCGCGGGACGTGCTGGGCAGCGCCTCCCGCGACCGCCGCCTGCTGCCGGGCTGGGAGAGCCGCGGTAGGTGCGGGGAGCGACGGGGCGCGGAGCGGGGCCGGCGTGCGGAGCTCCACGCATATCCCATCCCTCCCGTGCGCAGGGCTGGCGGAGATCGCGGCGGGGCGAGTGGGCGCGCTGCTGCTGGCCGGAGGGCAGGGCACCCGTCTGGGCGTCCCCTACCCCAAGGGCATGTGCGACGTGGGGCTGCCCTCCCGAAAGAGCCTCTTCCACCTGCAGGCCCAGCGCCTGCGGCGGCTGCAGCAGCTCGCGGAGGAGCGGCACGGCACGGCGTGCAGCATCCCCTGGTGAGCGATCCGGGGCTGCCGTGGGCCGGTGTGCTCCCGTGTGGGTCGGTGCGTTCCCTGGGCTGACGCTTCCCTGCAGGCTGACGTATTGTGGGTGATGCCCGCTGTATTGGCTTGGCTCTGTAAGTCCCTCGTGGAGTGAGGATGCCAGACCCCATGTTCCCCCACAGGTACATCATGACGAGCGGGCGGACCATGGAGTCCACCAAGGAGTTCTTCCAGAAGCATCGCTACTTTGGCCTGAAGAAGGAGAACGTCATCTTCTTCCAGCAGGGCATGCTGCCCGCCCTGGGCTTCGATGGGAAGATCCTGCTGGAGGAGAAGGGCAAGGTCGCCATGGCGCCAGGTCCGTGGCTGGGAGCAGGTGCAAGGGGTTCAGTGCTGCACCCCGGCCTGTCCCCCACTCCCCTAGCCGGGCTCCCCACCGTCAGCCAGCCCAGCCCCTCCCGTGGGAGCAGGCAGTGGCTGTGCCGTGACGTGTGTGAATGACACAGGCTGGGAGGTGCCGGCTTGGCAGGAGGGCTGGGGTGGGGTGTAACGGGGCTGGGAAGCCTCCGAGCCCGCTTCTTGGTCATGCCGAGGAGGAGGGCCCAAAATGGCTGTGCCCAATGCTCCTTCCCCACCCCAGATGGCAATGGGGGTCTGTACCGGGCACTGGGGGTGCACGGCATCGTGGATGACATGGAGCGGAGGGGTGTGCAGAGCGTCCATGTCTACTGTGTGGACAACATACTGGTGAAGGTGGCTGATCCCAGGTTCATCGGGTTCTGCCTGGAGAAGGGAGCGGACTGCGGGGCTAAGGTATGGTTCTCAGGCTGCCCCTACCCTGGCTTCCCCAGCCCCGTTCCAGCTATGACATCCTGGACACACATGCAGTGGGTGCAGCTAACACTGAGCACAGCTCCACGTGTCAGCTGCGGGATGTTGCACACCCAAAGCTTTGCTCAAAGGCTGGATTAACAGCAAAAGGTGCTGAGCATTTGTGTTTGCTTTGGGCTCGGCTCTGGCAAACAGACAGTAGATCTCACTGACCTTGGTGCTGTTGGAGCTGGGAAGGGAAAGCGGTCCCTCCCTCTGGCTGGCAGGAGGAGAAAGTAAACCCGGATGCCCTTCTCCGGGCAGGTGGTGGAGAAGACCAACCCCACGGAGCCAGTCGGCGTGGTGTGCCGTGTGGATGGTGTCTACCAGGTGGTGGAGTACAGTGAAATCTCCCTGGACACCGCGCAGAAGCGGGGCCCAGATGGGCGGCTGCTTTTCAATGCTGGCAACATCGCCAACCACTACTTCACCACCTCCTTCCTGAAAGATGTTGTCAAGTACGGGCTCAGCTTCATATTTTGGACCCGGTCCTCCAGATGAGATGAGCCGTGGCTGGCGTGGTGTCCCCGTGCCTGCCTTAGGCTCGCTCTCTTGGCCCCTTGCAGCACCTACGAGCCGCAGCTGCAGCACCATGTTGCTGAGAAGAAGATCCCACATGTGGATATTGAAACGGGGCAGCTGATCCAGCCTGAGAAGCCCAATGGGATCAAGATGGAGAAGTTTGTCTTTGACATCTTCCAGTTCTCAAAGTATGGCTGTCTGTCCCTGGGCCACGGGTAGGGATGTGTCCTTGGGATGCCCCAAGAGCAGACCCGACCCTCCATGTCCTATTCTTCTCCCCAGGAAGTTTGTGGTGTACGAGGTTCTGCGTGAGGATGAGTTCTCTCCTCTGAAGAATGCAGACAGCCAGAACGGCAAGGACAACCCCACCACGGCACGGCACGCCCTGATGTCCCTGCACCACCGCTGGGTGCTCAACGCAGGGGGACACTTCGTGGACGAGAATGGCACACGCCTCCCTGCCATCCCCCGGTGAGCTTCTGCTTCCCTGGAAGAGCAGAGCCTCCTCCATCCCCCTGGGCTGGCTGTAGGACATCGGGCAGCCCCCAACCTTCCTGGTGCCGGTTCTCCTGCACTCAGCGCTGCTGCCAGCAGACTGCAGCACCCCTTGGCCAAGAGACTGCTGCCGCTGGTTGGAGATGGCACTGAGCAGAGCGAGTCGGGTGTCCGGCTTTCCCATCCTTCTTAACCCTTCTTTGTTCCCACGTAGCATCACAAACGGAAGGTCAGATGCCACTCCAGCTGATGTCAATGACAAGTAACTATACATGCCACCGGGCTGCATGGTGGCGGGGCTGGGTGTAGGTACTAACGGGCTGCAGGCGGAGCGAGGTGACCAGGTACTAACAGGGGCTCGGGCGCATGCTGCCTGCAGGCATGTCTTGCTGTAGGAGAGTGGTGGCGCACTTCCTTCCTGGTGCTCCTTTCCGCAGAGGCTTTGGGAAAAGGTGAAGGGTTCTGTGCTGCTGTGGTGAGCTGGTCCCTGCCATGGTGGTGGGGAGCAGCCCCAGGACATGGGAGGTGACTGATGTTTCCCAAGATCTGCCCGACACCCAGCAGTCGCTTGCTGGAATGGGATGAAAGGCATTGCACACCCTGAGCAGGCTTTGATGTAGTACGTGTTGGCCATAGTGGGGATGGCCAGCTGTGCTCGGGAACTCCAGCTGTTGGGCTCAGGATTCAAGCTGACATCAGCAGAGCCGATAGCGAAAGGGACATGTAGGTGCCCCATCCCTGGAGGCATTCATGGCCAGGCTGGATGTGGCTCTGGGCAGCCTGGTCTAGTGGTTGGCAACCCTGCATGTAGCAGTAGCGTTGAAACTAGATGATCATTGTGGTCCTTTTCAACTCAGACCATTCTATGATTTACAAGCATGGGAAGCATAGAGAGGTGTTAAAATTATTGCTCTAATAGCAGCATGCTCTGCAGGCACGGAGATATCTGTGCTCCAGGCACTGGGCTTATCTCAGAAGGATGCATAGGGTTGGAGGGCACTCCCACTGCTTGCGTTCCATCCCCTTCATAGACACTGCACTGCTGCCTTTTGATGGATGCACTCGTGTACTTGGTTTCTAATTCAGAACTCTGGGTGCTGCCAGGCTTATAGATGCCATCGTGCAGTTAGAATGTAGGATAACAGCTGCAGATAGCGGCAGTTCCGCTTTTTTTTCTTCAATACTGAATGTTTTTTAATGCTACTTATTGATTAAAGCAGTCAGACCTAAAGGAGGACACAGGCACCAGGACCCCATGCGCTGCTGTGCCATCAGTGTCCAGGAAGGGGCATCCAGGGGTGTTCTTGCAGTGGCTGGGGCAATCCCCATGGCAGCAGGGTGCAGGAAAAGGGAGCGTCAGATGCAGTGGGGCAGAGGGCTGGGGGCATGGTGCTGCTGTAGTGCACACAGAGATTCTTCTTTAAACTGTGCCTTGAGTTCTCTTCTAGCTGCTGCCCCTATCTAAACCACAGCTCACGCCTACTTGGGGAGCACACAGTGCTTTGCTAACCGGGGGGCCATGTGCCAGCAGCCTGCCAGCACCAGCCCCCAGCCCCCAGTTGCCTGTGGGGGGCTGATAATGGGTTCTCTCTGCAGTCTGAAGGACGCCAGCGACGTGCCCATCCAGTGTGAGATCTCCCCCCTTGTCTCCTATGGTGGAGAGGTAAGTATGGCTCTGCCGTGGGGCAGTGCCCACCCTCCTCCCCCCGCCTAACAGGTTGCTTTCTGCTCCACTAGGGTCTGGAGGAGCTGGTGAAGGAGAGGGAGTTCCGTGCACCTTTGGTCATCGATGAGGACGGGACCCACGAGCTGGTGCACAACGGCATGTAGGCAGCGCTGGGACCCAGCCGTGCTTGGACATGCTGCAGCTGTGCCTGGCTCCGACGTGTTGTCTGCTTCTATTTATGTTTTAATTTAAAAACCAAACACTTGGTGGATGCCCCTGCTGTGAAGCACAGAGGCGGTGCTGCTCTTTGCACTGTGGGTGTGTATCTGTAGACCTGTACATACCAGTGCTCAGTGTACCTGCAGAGGGGTTTTATGGTACAGGGCTGGGGTTAACCCTGGATTTTTATTTTTCTTGAAGCAACGTGGCTATTTTTTTTATAGGATCCTTGTTGTGGCCCACCCCCTTTTTGCTCATACTTTGTACATTGCACAACTGGAATTGCCCCATTAAACCTCTGTGTCCTTCCTGGCTGCCACCTGGTGTTGTGCGGCGGTGACTGTGTGCCACTGTTGTTGCAGTCCCTCTGGGCACCAGGCTGGGGTGGCTGCAGGGTAGTCCTGGGGATGCCCGTGTCCCAAAAGAGAGTTTTCAGGGTGTGCTGGGGTACTGCAGGGAGGTGGGGGCTGCTGGTGTTTGCCTTGGCTGCTGGGCTGTTTGCACACCAACACTTCTGCATCGGGTCCTGGGATGGAGCAGTGCTGTCCGCTGCCAAGTTATGTGAGCGCTGACTCTGGGTAGCAGAAGGTGTGGGGTGGCTGTGCTGGCGGGCACGTAGGGGTGGTGGGCACAAGGGTAGCACTGCCCCCAGGGGGTTGCAGCACTGGGTCTGGCAATGGGAGACAAGGGGCTCCAGCATGTTGCCACAGCCTGACACTATTGCACAAAGCATGATTAAAACCCAATATTATTATTTTCTCCATGCTGTGTTGCATTGTCAGCCAACCACAGTGCCAAGCAGCTGCCTGGAAATGATGTCAGAGCCCTACTTCAGCACGCAGCCTGCAGAGCTGCCAGCTCCTGCTGTGCCCTGTGCAGGGTATGGGTGCCACGGGACCCCTGAGCCATGCGCTGCCCAGGGCCTGTAGTGAGGTGGCACCTACATATAACTAGAGTGGGGTCTCAGGGAACTGCTCCACCACCCACTCTGGGGAGCCCCATGGGTCCCCATAGGGCGCAGGAGGGTCGCAGCAAGGCCCCGCACACATCCCACTGCTGTGGGGTGAGTGCCGGAAAGGAGAGCTCTGCCTATTGCTTTAAGCTCCCTCCCCAACCACGGGTATTTTTTTATTTTTTCTCCCGCTCTATGAATGGGTTTTGCTGTAAATTATAGCTTTGCACACATTCCCTCGGGTCGAGGAAAATAACCTCCGCCGAAAAGCCAGCCCGGATTGGTGAGCGGCTCCCCCTCTCCGCTCCCTAATTGAAACCAAATGTGCGAGATGTAGGATTGTGGGATTTCTGGCCGGCTCCCAGGAATCCGCAGAATGTGAGCGGGCTCGCAGAGGCATCTTGCATCAGCCCGGGGAAGTTCGCTCCTCGCCTGGCTCCCGCCGCCCGGGCGAGGGGCGAGCAGCCCGCCTCCCACCATCCCTATCCTGCTCCGGTGAGTCCCTTGGGGTGAATGGGAGGTGTCCAGCCTCAGTCTGGGGGCTTCAGGAGGAAGAGGGGTCTGTGCTCTGTTTGGACGCTGTGTGTTGGGGCTGGGCGCGGAGCGTGTGTCTGGTGGCGGTGCTGAACGGCCGTGGTGCCCCGCTGTCTCTGTGGTCCCCATCCAGGCACACGTGTCCCCATGGCTGTGAGGGACACAGGGATGCCGCTTGGGTGCCCCCAAGCACCCTTTCCCAATCCCAGCGCTGGGGACCCGCTCGTGGCTCCCCATGCCAGGGCTGTGTGGCTGTGTGCCATGGAAGGGTGATGCCATGCGCAGTGGCGGGGCGATGCCATGCGCCATGGCGAGATGATGCCGCGTGGCTGTGTGCCGTGGCACGGAGCGGGAGGAGAGCTACAGCTTTCAGCTGCTGGGGGCCCGTTTGGGGTGCAGCGCCAAGGGCCACGTCTGCACCCACTGCCCCAGAGCTGTGCCGTTGGAGTCCCTCTGGGCAGCCACGGGGATGCGGCTGATACTCACATTGTGCCGCTGGGATGTCCCTGCTGAGCCTGTGGTTGGGGAGACATTGTGGATCCAGAAGACAGGGCTGCCCCTGGCCCAACCAAGGTCCAAAGCGACATTTTCTGTGAGGAAAGGGTCCCGGCATGCTGTGCTGTTCTGCATAGGCTGTGCTGGCGGTGCAGCATGCTGGGGGCTGTAGTGTCAGCTCCAGACCCCCACCCAAACACCACCAGCCCTGCGCTCGGCGCGTCATGGCCATTCTGGGGGAGATGGGATCCAGCTCCTGGCACAGCCTCTGTGCCTCCTTCCCCTGGAGCAGTGCGCTCAGAAAGCCCACAGGGTCATCACCAAGCTTCACTTGCTTTCATTTACTTTTTTTTGCTGCTAATTTCAGTAGAAGAAGAGGGGAAGAAAAAAAAAAAAAAAAGGAAAAATAAATAAATAAAACTGAAGCGGAAGAGGGAAGCTCAGAAGCAGCAGAAGGTGCCAGGGAGGAACTCCAAATACGCTGTGCAGTAAAAATTTCCAACGGTCAGAAAACTTCAGCAAAGCTGTTCAGACAGAGTGGTCACTTTTGTCAGAGTGGTGGAACAAAACCCATTTCCAGCTGCTCGGTACCTCTGCCTGTGCCACCGTCCTGCTGCTGCCCCTGGTGGGACCGCCAGCACTTTCTGTGTCTGCCCAAATAGAAACCCAGCGCCTTCAGAGACAGCAGCATCTGGTCCCCTGATGCTGACAGGGTTTACTCAGCCTGAAAGAATAGTGGGAAAAATGTCTGCAGATGTCCCTTGGAATGCAGAAGGAAATTGAGATTTTAGCGTTGGAGGAGTTGGCCATCACCACCGGGAGCCTTGCACTCGCCTGGAGCCGTGTGGTCAAAGCTCCAGGCTGGCAGCTCAGCCCGCTCCCTGCATTTTCCGAGCCGTCAGCAGGAAAAAGGGCAACAACATACGTGCTTTTCCAAAAGGGAGAGAAGAAAAGGGAAAGAAAGGATTGCTGTAAGTCAGGGGTTGTGTTTATGCTGCTGTGGAACTCTCCCTTAGCACACGGGCTGTGCTCGCTGCATCCTGCCTCTGTTCCAGCAGTGCCAAGCTCGGCTCTACCACGAGAACCATCTCAGTAAATACCCTATAAATCTCAGGCAATTACCTGTTATTATCTCTCGGAGCCAGAAGGCAAGGAAACTATGCTCTGCAATGTGATACTGCTGCCATACAAGATCAGGTTGTGCAATGCCTTGCTTTTATGGCCATTCCTGGTGCTTCTGCCTTTGGGTTCAGGACTGTGCCAGTCCTGAACTGGGCTGCTGGAGGCTTCATGTGGCTCTCATGGCCCTATTGGCATTGGGGTTATGGCATCGGGGTGCCTCTGATTGCAGGGGATGTTCAGTCCATCCCAGCAGCAGTGCTGTGACCCTCTGGTCGTGTCTCTGCAGGACTCTCGCCATGCCGGCCCTGCCCAGAGCTGCCCTGCTGCTGCTGCTACTGCTGCTGCTGCTGTGCAGCCTGCTGGCAGCCAGAGCCCAGGTCAACCCCGGTAAGTGGAAGCTGGGCAGCAGCCAGAGGCTACGGGGCTGGGGCACAGCCTCTGGTAGGGCCACGGGGTATGCCTGGCCCCCTCAGCCAGGTTTACAGTTTGGGAATTCAGTGGGCTGCCTTGCAGTGCGTGCCAAGTTGTGCAGGGAGGCACACACCACTCTGTGCCCACCCCTCCACATGAGACCACAGTGTGCTCCACTGGGGCTTGGCATTGCCCAGCTCTGCACTGCTCCATGCCCTCTGGTTGCGGGGGGGGCGCTGCGGGCTGGAGCTGGCAGAGAGATGGTAAACAGGGCCAGACAAGTGGCCTTTCAGCAGCACTCCTGGCAGCCAGGTGTGAAATAACAACCCCTTGGGAGTGGTGTGGATGTAGTGCTGCACAGGGGATGCAGCCCACCCGCCCATCCTGGTACTTTTCCACTCCCTTCGAGGCAGGCGGGTGGGTGAGCACCTGTCTTTGACCGATATGTAGGCCAGGGAGCAGCATGGCCAAGAGCAGGGGGCTGCAAGTGGAATTTGGGGTGAGTAGAGTCTGGATGGAGGCCTCTCCCACCAGTGCTTATGTGCTTTTTGGCAGCTGTGTGCCGGTACCCCCTGGGAATGTCAGGTGGGCACATCCCCGATGAGGACATCTCAGCCTCCAGCCAATGGTCTGAGTCCACGGCTGCCAAGTATGGACGGTGAGTGTGGTCATGGGCAGGGAGGGCTGAGAACGGCAGGATCTGCTGGGGCATGAGGTTGACAGTGGCCACCTCTGAGCCCTCCCCATGCCATCTCAGGCTGGACTCGGAGGAGGGTGATGGTGCCTGGTGCCCCGAGATCCCAGTAGAGCCTGACGACTTGAAGGAGTTCCTGCAGATCGACCTGCGTGCCCTGCACTTCATCACCCTGGTGGGCACCCAGGGCCGTCACGCTGGGGGGCACGGCAACGAGTTTGCCCCTATGTACAAGATCAACTACAGCCGGGATGGCACCCGCTGGATCTCTTGGCGGAACCGGCATGGGAAGCAGGTGAGGAGGCTGCAGGGCATGGCCCACCCCATGCCTCAGCACCTCGTTTTGCCCACTGGGTTCTGTCCCCTAGGTCCTGGATGGGAACTCCAACCCCTACGACATCGTCCTCAAGGACCTGGAGCCACCGCTCATTGCGCGCTTCGTCCGTTTCATCCCTGTCACCGACCACTCCATGAACGTGTGCCTGCGCGTGGAGCTGTACGGCTGTGCATGGCTTGGTGGGTGCCTGTCTGTCTGTCTGTCCATCCACCTACTGGGGCTGGGCTTACTGTCTCTTCCCCACAGACGGGCTGGTGTCCTACAGCGCTCCGGCCGGGCAGCAGCTCGTCCTACCCAGCGGTACCATCATTTACCTGAACGACTCTGTGTATGATGGGGCCTTCGGGTACAGGTGAGGACCAGAGTCTTGGGCAGGAATCAGAGGGTCTCATGGTAGAGCTCACCTGGTGGGAGTAAAGGTATGGCTCACAGAGTGCCCCTGTCCCACGCCAGCATGACGGAGGGCCTGGGCCAGCTGACAGATGGCGTGTCGGGGCTGGATGACTTCACACAGACCCACGAGTACCACGTGTGGCCAGGCTATGACTATGTGGGCTGGCGCAATGAGAGCACTGCCGGCGGCTACGTGGAGATCACCTTCGAGTTCGACCGCATCAGGAACTTCACCACAATGAAGGTCCGCATGCCCCGCGCTCCCTGTCCCTGTCCCCTCCGTGTGCCACGCTGACGGGTTGCTCCACAGGTGCACTGCAACAACATGTTCGCCAAAGGGGTGAAGATCTTCAAGGAGGTGCAGTGCTATTTCCGATCCGACGCCAGCGAGTGGGAGCCCAACGCCATCTCCTCGGTGCTGGTACTGGACGATGTCAACCCCAGTGCCCGCTTCGTCACCGTGCCCCTGCTGCACCGCATGGCCAGTGCCATCAAGTGCCAGTACTACTTTGCTGATACCTGGATGATGTTCAGCGAGATCACCTTCCAGTCGGGTACCACTGCCTCGCAGGGTCCTCCTGGGGCTCATGGGGAAAGCAGGGCTGCGGGGTGCTTGTTGTTCCTGTCCTTAGAACGGTTGGAAAAGACCTCTAAGATCAGCTAGTCCAACCACCCAAGTGTGCCAACTAAACCATGTCCTTCAGTGCCACATCTCAGATGCAGGTGGTTCTTGAACACCTCCACCCCGAGCAGCCTGTGCCAATGCCTCACCACTATTTCAGAGAAGGAATTTTTCCTAATATCCAACCCATCCTTGACAATCTTCTCTTCTCTCTTGCCAGATGCAGCCATGTACAACAACTCAGCAGTTCCCCCGGAGATGCCCATGGCCCCCACCACATACGGTAAGGCACCAAAAAGCAACTTGCACCAAACCTGGTGGAGGCAGGGGTCACCTTCTCTTGGGAAGATGCACAGAGGCTCCAAAAGGGGAAGATCTGCCTCATCCGATGGAGAAAAAGGTGGAGGGTTTGTCCCCTCACCCCAGTGTGACCAAGCGTGTATTGTCCCCTCCTGCCAGACCCCACACTCAAGATGGATGACAGCAACACACGCATCCTGATCGGGTGCCTGGTGGCAATCATCTTCATCCTGGTGGCCATCATAGTCATCATTCTGTGGCGGCAGTTCTGGCAGAAGATGCTGGAGAAGGTGAGTGCACATGGGACAGCTGCAGGGCCTCTATGCCACCCCCAGCTAGTTGAGGTGACCATTCCAAATGCTTCTCCATTGGGCCAGATGACAGAGGGGGACATGCTGAGGGGGTATGCAAGCACACGCACCCTCCCCAGTTCCACCATTATGGGACAGGACACAAGAGAGGGGCTCTGAGCATGGGCTCAGGGTTAGCCATGGCTGTGGTGACGGGATCTGTTGTTGGGACAGAGTGTACAGAGCCCAGGGGACCCCAGGGGATAGCATGCACCGGGATCCTATCCCAGCTCTTTCCTCCTTCACCCACTCCCACAGGCATCACGGAGGATGCTGGATGATGAGATGACCGTCAGCCTCTCCCTGCCCAGTGAATCCAGCATGTTCAACCACAATCGCTCCTCCTCCTCCAGCGAGCACGAGTCCAATTCCACCTATGACCGCATATTTCCCTTGGGTCCGGATTACCAGGAGCCCTCACGCCTGATTCGGAAGCTGCCTGAGTTCACGGCGGGTGAGGAGGATACAGGTAAGGAATGGGAGATCCTCCTGGACTCACTGCAGTGCTGCAGTGTGATGGGCATAGTGCTGGGTGGGATCTGCCCAATGTCCTGTGGGCTGCACGCCCATGGCAGGATCGTCCCCACTGTCTCCCCAGGCTGCAGTGGCCTTGTGAAGCCGTCCCCAGCCAGTGGCCCCGAGGGTGTCCCGCATTACGCCGAGGCTGAGATTGTGAACCTGCAGGGCGTCACGGGTGGCAACACTTACTCGGTGCCAGCCCTCACCATGGACCTGCTGTCTGGCAAGGATGTGGCTGTCGAGGAGTTCCCCAGGAAGCTGCTGACCTTCAAGGAGAAACTAGGAGAGGGCCAGTTTGGGGAGGTGAGCTGGAGCTGGCAGGCACAAAGCCTCCGTGGGCTGGGATAGATGGAGCTGGTCCTTGTGGTGACCAAAGGAGACCAGTGCTGGAGGTGATGCCTATTTGTGGCCCCTTTCCCAGGTTCATCTCTGTGAGGTGGAGGGGATGGAGAAGTTTGCAGACAAGGAATTCACCCTGGAGGGCTTGGATGCCAGCCCCAACTGCCCCGTTCTAGTGGCTGTGAAGATGCTGCGGGCCGATGCCAACAAGAATGCCAGGTACTGCTCTCATAGCACAGCCCCTAGTGGGACAACTGTACCCTCTGGGCAGTGTCCCCAGCTTCCAGCGCACTTATGTGCCACGGGTCCTTCCCATCCCCTGCCCACAGAGCTCCTCCCACACCGCCCCCAGGCCAAGGGGAGGGTCCCCCTGCCACGTCCTTTGATTATCCGGCACTTCACCCCACCGTGCTGGGGTGTCTGATTCCTGTGGTTTTTGTTTGGGAAAGGAATGATTTCCTGAAGGAAATCAAGATCATGTCACGGCTCAAGGACCCCAACATCATCCGACTGCTGGCAGTGTGCATCACGGACGACCCGCTGTGCATGATCACTGAGTACATGGAGAACGGTGACCTCAACCAGTTTCTGTCCCGCCATGAGGCACAGAGCCCTCCTGACGCCCAGGTGCCCACCATCAGGTAGTGCTGTGAGTGGGGGCACAGGGACGGTGGGGGACCTGGTGTCGCCCAGCCCCTCAGCCCTGCACGGTGTCCCCAGCTACAGCGACCTGCGCTTCATGGCCACCCAGATCGCCTCTGGCATGAAGTACCTGTCCTCCCTCAACTTCGTGCACCGTGACCTGGCAACGCGCAACTGCCTGGTGGGCAAGAGGTACACCATCAAGATCGCCGACTTCGGCATGAGCCGGAACCTCTACAGCGGGGACTACTACCGCATCCAGGGCCGCGCCGTGCTGCCCATCCGCTGGATGTCCTGGGAGAGCATCCTGCTGGTACGGCCAAGTGTCATGGGTCAGCCTGTGGGGTCTTCATCTTGGATGGGTCACACCCTGTGTCTGGTGGGTGGCCTTGGGAGACACAAGGGGAAAGAGATTCCTTTGGGAGATGGAATGAGAGCATTGCAGTCATGCGCTGTTCCCATGCTGGGCATGGAGCTGGGAGGTTCAGGAGGCTTTGATCTCCAGGCATTAGGAGCTGTGGAGCTGTAGGGTGTTGCACATCCCAATCCTGCTCTGCTTACCCCTGCCAGGGCAAATTCACCACGGCCAGTGATGTGTGGGCATTTGGCGTGACACTGTGGGAGACCTTCACGCTGTGCCGGGAGCAACCTTACTCACAGCTGTCTGATGAGCAGGTCATCGAGAACACCGGAGAGTTCTTCCGGGACCAGGGCCGGCAGGTAGGAATGGAACAGGCAGTGCTGGGTGGGAGCTGCAGGTCTGGGGAGAATAATAGAACCATAGAGTCATCAAGGTTGGAAAAGATCGCTAAGATCACGTTGTCCAACCATCAAACCATCAGGACGCTAAGGGGATGGATGGGGAGTTTGGCGGCTCTTTGCCATGAACACAAAGTCCTGGTGCATGGGGGAATTGGGCACCCTAGGGCCAGTATGGTGAGGCAGTGGCACAGGTTGCCTAGAGAATTGGTGGGTGCCCCGTCCCTGGAGACACCAAAGGTCAGGCAGGATGGGGCTCTGAGCATCTGGTGGAGCCGTGGGTGTCCCCTGTTCAGGGGAGTGGGACCAGATGGCCTACTAACTCAAACGATTCCGTGATTTTATGATTTTGCTGTTGTCCGTTGGTAATACATGGTGCTAAGTCTCTCTTTTTCCTTTTATTTTGAAGACGTACCTTCCCAAGCCTGCATTGTGCCCTGATTCTGTTTATAAGCTAATGCTGAGCTGCTGGAGACGGGACACTAAAGACCGTCCGTCCTTCCAGGACCTGCACCGCCAGCTGCAGGAGGCGGCCACCGAGGAGTGACCCTGTGCTCAGTGGGCACCACTTCCCAGGAGGAGAGCCCCAGTGCGGCAGGGGAGCACAGGGCAGCACGGCCCCGGGGCTCCGAGCTGGGAGCGCTGCGGGTTGGACAGAGGTTATTTATTGGGGACAGTGACTTTGTGGGCCCAGGACCACGTGCCTTAAGGGAAGCCATACGGTTCCTCACCGTGCACCATCAGACCCCTGCACGTGGGCAGGAGGAACTGTGGATTTCAGGGTGCACGGACCCCTCTGACTTTTTTTTACGCCCTTACTTCATCGCGGCACCATTTGCAGTACCCTATTGCTGAGGCATGTATATATTCAGTAGAAGCACCTGTATATACGGGAGAACCCGCTGAAGAGATGCTCCGTGTCCTGGTTTCCTTGGGGCTCCCGGGTGACACGTGGGTACGCGGCGCCCGATGGGCGGGGCGAGAGAGCGCGGAAGTGGGCGGGGTCTAACAGACCACGCCCACACTCTCCCTCTCGCTCCGCCCCGCCTCTCGCCCCACCATCACGCCACCGGCCGTGTGGTCACGCCCCCTCCGCCTGCACCCATTGGTCGAGGAGGGAGGCGGGGCGATGACGTAGGCAGGAGGAGAGGGCGGGTAGCGGATATAGGGCAGCGGTAGCGGGCGAGTCGGGAGCGCGAACCGGACCGAGATGGAGCGTGTGGTGCTGGTGACGGGAGCCAGCGGGTGAGCGCGCGGGGCCGGAGGTCTCGGGGTGTGGGGAGGGCATTGCCTACGCTTGATGCTGAGCATCGTGCCGTTGCAGCGGCGTGGGGCTGGCGTTGTGCCGGCGGCTGCTGGGGGAGGATGGACGCATCCACCTGTGCCTCGCCTGTCGCAACACCCAGAAGGCAGAGGCCACGCGGGACTTGGTGCTGCAGGAGTACCCCGCCGCGCAGGTCTCCACCGTGGAGGTAGACCTGGGCAACCTGGCCTCCGTGCTGCGTGCTGCGCAGGAGCTGCGCTGCAGGTGAGTGGGTAACCCTGTTATCCCCACCTGATCCCCCCCACCTGGCCTTCTCTCCCCCCTGCTGTCCCCATCTGACCCCCCGTGTCCCTCTGTGCTGTTCACCCCGCTGTCCTGCTCTCCCTACAGGTTCCAGCGCCTGGACTTTGTCTACCTCAATGCCGGCATCATGCCCAACCCTCATGTGAACTTCAAGGCCCTGTGGAAGGGGCTCCTGACCGGGTAAGGATGTGGGTGCTGCTGTGAGCTGGCCATGACTCGAGGGGTTGGTGAGCGAGAGTCCAAACTGATGGACCCTAACTCAGCATCACAGCACAGCTCAGGTTGGAAGGGATCTGCAGGTGCCCATCAGGTCAGGCTGCCCAGGATCCCATGCAACCTGGCCTTGAATGCTTCCACAGATGGGACATCCCCAGCTCCTCTGGGTGGTCTATGCCATGGCTTTGCCACCATAAAGAAGATCCTTATGTTTGACTGAAATCCACACTTGTTCAGTTTAAAACCTTTGCCCTGGAGCACCAGGAGGTGTGGCTTTCCTTAGGGAGCCCTGTGTGCTGTCTGAGCCCTGCTGTAGGGCCAGCTGTGGGCTGGAGGGGAGGTTGGTGCTCAGCTTAGGCCTGGGGAGGAGTGAGAAATACTTGTGTATTCTTGGGGGATGAAGTGTGCTCTCACTGGGTCTTGTTTCTGTGCCTTTTTCCCAGCTGTAGGTCACACTGTTTTGTGATGCTGTGATAGCTGGCTGCTAATGAGAGAGCTGAGCTGGGGATCAAAGTTATGGGATGGATTCTGATACAGCTGGGTGCTGAATGTAGACGCAAGGCTGCTTTTCTCATCTGCTGATAGGTCTTTGTTCCATGCCTGAGATTGGTCTTCATATCTGAATGCTCTGTTTTCTACCCTTGGTTTCCAGGAAGGTGCTCCATATGCTGACCACTGCAGAAGGCATCATGACACAGACAGACAGACTGAATGGGGACGGTTTGCAGGAGGTGTTTACCACCAACCTCTTTGGGCACTTCATCCTGGTGAGGCTGTGCGAAAGTCGGTCTGTAGGTCTGGGTAGCACAGCACAGTGGGTGCTGATGTGGGTTCTGCCTTTCAGGTTCTGATCCTGCTGCAAGCTCAGGCCTGACAGATAATGATAGGAGAAAGGTCTCCTGCCGTGTTGAAATAGCTCTAAGTGGTCACAGAGTTGTTGTAAGGATTAATGCAATCTAAAGCTTACCGTAGTCAGTGGGTAGAGGTAAGCCAGGCACAGCTCTTTCCAAGGAGGCCACCAAGGCTTGGCTCTGTGGACTTCTGAGGTGTTCCTCTGAGCTGTGCAGAACACTGCCACTGCTTGTACAGCTTCCTGGGAAAACATGGGCTGAAGCTGCACCGGAGCTGTGGCTGCTTTTTCAGCGCTCCCTTCACAGCTCAGTGTGGCTCGTGTGTGGCCCATCTACGAAGGTTACCCATTACTAGGAAAGCTGAGCTGGCAGCTTTTCAGTATGGTGAAACGATGCCATGAAGCTTTACAGTTGTGGTGGCAATTCTTTTTCAGATTCGTCAGCTCGAATCTCTGCTCTGCGGTAATGAAAAGCCATCACGACTCATCTGGACCTCCTCCAGCAATGCAAGGGAATCTGCCTTCAGCCTGTCTGACTATCAGCATGCCAAGGGGCAGGAATCATACAGTTCCTCCAAATATGCCACTGACCTGACAAGTGTGGTTCTGAACAGGAAATTTAATAAGCAGGTGACAATGGGATTTGTGTGTCTGAAGGACTTAATGAGCAGCTACTATTTGTAATTATTGTTACATTGTTGTTGCCTTGCTGCATTAGTTTGCAGCAATCAGATATGTGCCTTAATGCATGCGTAGGAACTGGCTGTGGCTGCACTGGTGGGGCATGCAGGCTGCCAGCCACAGGTCTTCCTGCTTGAGCCATCCACTACAGAGTATTTCTGATAGCAGAAGCTTTTTGGAGAGGTTCCTACGTTGCAAGCTTTAGTTTTCTATTGAAACCAGAGAATTGGTCTGAAAGAGCAAAGAGCTGAAGTGCTGGCCACTCTTCTCAGGTGCGTGTGCCCACTTGAGGCACAGATTCTGCCAGAGGGAGGGGGTAGGAGCCCTTCTTTACTGTTGTGTAGTTACAAACTGACTGTTTCTTCTCTGCAGGGTCTGTATTCCAGTGTTGTTTGTCCTGGCCTTGTTATGTCCAACATGACCTTCCGAATTTTGCCAGTTTTTCTGTGGGTGCTGCTGATGCCCATCATGTTTTTGGTAAGAGGCTCTTCGCTGGTTTGAAGGAGCTCTTTGGAGCAGCCTGCTTGTGGCTTCTCACCACTATTATGGCTCTGTAGCTCTTCAGTTGAATTGGGCAGCCATGCCCTGTGTGGGCAACTTGCTGACTTGTTCAAGGCACTGGTGGTTCCTCAAAACAACCTTCTGGAGCAGCAGGTTTCCTGGGAGGAGAGAGATGGCAGTCTCCTTCTCTAGGAGCTTCTTGAAGTATGGGGTGCAGAGGGGAGAGTTAATGGCACCCCTTTAACCTACACCAGATAGGTGCTGCTGCTCTTGTTATGTGCTCTGACACAGCCTGTTGTCTGGAGTGGCTTTCAGGGCTTACTCTTGAGTGTCTGCTTCTTGTGGGCTGCTCTTCCAGTGAAGGTGCAAAGCACGGCTTGGAGAATGGAAGGGAAAGGCCTTGCTGCATCTGCTTGGCACTGGGAGGAAGGCACTGCTGGTGTCTTTATTCTGCTGTAGGTTCCTTGTGGGAAGGAGAAACATAAGGTGTATTCAGATCTTGCCAACCTGCCTTTGGGTACTGTGGGTCCTGGTTTTTCCAGCAGAGCTCCTCAAAGCAGCTCTGCTGCTGGGAAGTACTGCACACAGGTAGAGCTCAGCCTTTCAGTTGCAGCAGCATCAGCAAGACTCTCAGTACCAGGTTGGTGTGGGCTTGCAAAAGAACATGCTTTTCAGCAGTAGTGGAGTTCTGGACGAAACTTGTCCCTCATTCCTTGACGTGGTGTTTGTTTTTGCAACAGTCTTTGACTTTCTTAGAGGCACAGAAAGAACACCCAAAAAATGCCAAGTTGTTTGCTCTGTGTCCCTTCTCCCGCTCCCCAAAAGCTGCTTTTGCCATTTGTTCCTGTAGCTTCAGCTTTCTAGACTCAGTGCAGTTCTGGCCCTGCTGCAGGATGCCTGCCCCAGCTGTCTGAGCAGGCAGTGGCTGATCCTGGCAGATCACCTTTCTCCTGTCAATGGAGAAGGCAGTGCCTTCTCACTTGTCCTCAGCGCTGATGGTGTTGTGGACCCATTTGGTCTCCAGCCATATCACAACCACACAGGGCAGGAGGCAAAGTGTCTGTGGGGTGTGTGCTTGCCTTGTTGCCTGCCTCCTTCTGCCTATGGAGTGAGGCTTGCTGGTCTGGTGGGTGGCCCAGGGAACCAAGCTTGTGGGGACAGAGGGATGCTTCAGTTCCAAGTGTGCAGCATTGACTGGAGGCAGCCTTGAAAGCATTTCTACCCTTGGTAGATGGTCTTGTTGTTGGGCTTGTCAAAGAAACCTTGGGTCAAAATACTGATTCTTTCTTGTATATTTTTTTTCCTCCATCAGATACGTTTCTTTGCCAAGACTTACACTCTGACACCGTATAATGGAGCAGAAGCTCATGTAAGTGCTTCACTATTTAATTTAACAGCTCTCTCTCTAGGGTAGCTCTTCCCAGCACCTGCAGACTCTAACTAAGATGCCCTCTACAGGGCTGGGGTCTGTGTGCTGGATTTATTCTCTGAATCCCTTACAGCAGGAAGTGCTGGGAGACCAGAAGTGACCAGGGCTGATCCCACAGATCTCTTTGTCAGGTGTCCAGAGAATGGAGGATTTAGGCAAACTAAACTCTGCCCCTTCTTTCCCTAATGGGGAGGGTGTTGCCCTGCCTTTTTGCTGTCAAACCACAGGCGCATAGCCAGAGGGCAATGCAGGTTGAAGTAGGTTGAAGCTGAGGGCAGCCAGTTTGGAATTTCTTCTCCAGGTATCTAGTCTCCCCAAGCTTAATGAAAGCACTCATGGTTTTTTCACTCATGTCATCCAGAAGCAGTGTCCTTACCTATAGGTTTGGTTGGGACTGCCTGCATGACTCTGTGCTGTTCTTCCTAGGTGTGGCTGTTCAAGCAGAAGCCAGAATACCTGGATCCACTTGTCAAGTACCACAGCTGTACCTCTGGACTGGGGAAGAACTTTGTGGAGCCTAGAAAGGTGAACAGAGCAACAGCTTCCTGCTGTGGGGACTTGGCTTGGCTGGGGTCCTGCTGTGTGCTACCTGGTACAGAGCAGAAGGGTTGGTGTTGGAGGTCCTGGGGCTGGAGAGGAAGCTAGCTGTGTGCTGAGCAGCAGAGAGAGATGTGGAACTATCTATGAGGTTTTCCTGGAGTAGCACATCTGCCATCCTCATACTGGAGTCTGTAAGCTCTTAGGACCAGCCAGGAGGGTTTGTGTTGGTTTCTGTTCTATCTGTTCCTTAATTGGGCAATCTCCCCTCTGTTGGGCTGGTGGGAAGGTGGGAACAAAGGCAGCAGTAAGTACTTCTGATGTCAGCTGATGTTCAGGTGGTAGCAGGGGAATGTGGGAGCTGGAGGTACTTTGGTCTCTGACAGTGTGTCATGGTTGAGACTGCTTCACCACAAGCTCGACTTGAACAGGCTCTGTGTATGACCTGGTCTCTTGGCAATGAAGGTCTTGCTCAGAACAGGATCAGTGTGTTATGATGCTTCCCCACAATGTGCTCTGTGCTCTGGAGATGGATGCCTCTGGGTGCCACACTAGAGAATCCAGAGCTGCCCTCAGTATCTGTACAGACCGTCAACAATGACATGTCTCAGTGCCCTTCTTATTCTTTTCCAGCTTGATGTGGATGAAGAAACTGCTGAGAAATTTTACCAGAAGCTGTTGGAACTGGAGGAGCAAACTCTAGAGAAATATGGCGATCTCCTAGATTAAATAAAACTCGTTCTCAGTGAGTTAAGGCTTCTATCAGTAACATGGGCTTCCTTCATTCTGGTGCTACTTGGGGTGCCTGCTCTTCTGTGGGCATATGGCTTCAGCACTGATCTTCCGTCTCTAAAGAAGGTGAACAGTTCCTGAAAATGGGAATGTGAGAACTGAAGAAGAATATTTAGTCTTTCTGGTATGGGATTTTTCTGGCGTAAAACTGGAGACCTAGCGTAGGTGGAAACTGTCCTAACACAGCTGTGAGGCGTTGTCTTCTAAAAACATGACTGAACTGTGTACAGCTCAAGAGGAGCCTCAAAACATGGTTTGAATGTGGCTTGGTGTGGGGAAGGCAACAGCCTGGGGTGCTGCTGTGAGTTGTGGCTCCACCAGTCCTTCGAGATGGTTTGAACTCATGACCTGTGGCTAATCCTGACATACTTGAAGGCCCAACTTCAGCTGAGCTGCTTCTGTTTGCACCCCAGAGCTTGGGCCAGCATTCCGAGGGGCTGGCAAGATTGAGCTTTGCTGAAGCTCAGGCTGTGTATGGCCCTGAGGCAAAGCTCCTGAAAAAAGAGGGAATGGCACCTCTTGCCTCCGCTGTGAAGTTAGATGCTTTTTGGATAGCCGGAAAACATGAGCCATCCCTTGGATTTGGGGCCCTATGTTCTAGCCATGACTGACTGGGAAGGTTGAGGCTGTTGAAGTTAGCTGGGTTTCAGGGCCTGACTGCTCTGTCTGTTGCGAGAATGAGGTCACCCTGTTATTTATATCTATTTAACTGTCTTTTTATATTTAATAAGTATTCTTTCTGTTACCTATCTTGCGAGTACCTGGTGTACTTTCAATGCTGCAACGAATAAATAATCAGCACTCACTTGTCCTTGCTATGATGGAGTTTTTGCTGCGATACGGGATGCTGGGAGGGAGGGCATACCTGTGTGCAGCAGGGAAGTGAGGGGTCCCCAGGACAGCTGTGAGCAGCCTGCTCATGTGCCTTCTAATTAATGGCAGGCATTAGTAAGTTCTGAGGACTTCGGTGTGGTTTTGTACATTGAACATTTGTCTGAGACAATTTCCTCGCTTCAAGTACTTGAGACAAGTGGATGTCTCCAGCACTTACTCACCTACCTTGTCACATAACTAGTGATTAATTACTGTGCTACTGGGAACACTGGCTGTGCCCAGGCACTGCCCTGGGGTAGGCAGGAGCTGGCAGGAAGGCTCAGCATGTAAAGGCTCTGACTTCTGTAAAGCAGATGGAGCATGTGCTTGTGTGAGCCTTCAGTTAAGCACAGGAAAGGCTGTCCTGGGCAGACCTGGCCTCTAGCTTTGTTCAACAGAACCTCTCAGGGCTGTAATCCCGCTTTTCTGAGCAGGAAAGGAGGTAATGATAGCAAGCCAGTGGCTGGCTGCCTGCCTCCCCTTGAGCTGCGTACCTTGTCTTACAACACTATTTGGCTTCTTGTTCTAGAGAGTAATTAAACCTTTCCCTTAATTGGCTTTAGACGTGTTTCTTGAACGCTGCAGTGCTTCTGCCCTGGGATTTGCTATCCACTACAGCTTTCAGATTCTCATAGCCAGAGATACTCCATCATTCCTCATATTATGGATGCTGTGCCCTGCTCTGACAGCTCTTTCTTACCTTCTTTGGGGTGTAATGTATGGAGCAGCAGATACTGCTCACAACAGTCTGACACAATGCATCATGAAATGAGTGCAGCTTGTGGGAGGTGGGAAGCAGAGTGTTCTTATGCCAAGGTAATCACAGGTGTTGTTTGTGCCTTCTCTCAGAGCCAGCTGCATGGCTTGGTATAGAGTAAGGAATGTGTGCAGTCCTGACACCATAGCTGTGATGGTGTGAGGACTTGAGTGCAGTGGGATCTGGAGAAGTCAGCTTTCCATCAGCTGGAAGTCAGCTACAAGGCAGAATGGTCTTAAACTGTGACAGGGGAGGTTTAGGTTAGATATTAGGGATATTAGGAGGAAGGTTTTCACCCAGAGGGTAGTGATGCACTAGAACAGGTTGCCCAAGGAGGTTGTGGATGCGCTGGAGGCATTCAAGGCAAGGCTGGATGTGGCTTTGGACAGCCTGGTCTGGTGGTTGACAACCCCACACATGAGAGGGGGATTGAAATTTGATTATCGTTATGGTCCTTTTCAACCCAGGCCATTCTATGAACTGATATATGTGGAGAAAACAAATGTTTTCTGGTGTGCAACCTTTTAAGCCTGGAATGAAGTAAGCAGTTTGGTTGGCAGGATGGGCACAGATGGATGACAGTAAATGGGATCCTGGATGATTTTTCTCGTATGCGCTTGAGTCGCACATTTCTTGGAGAAGGTGAGCCTGGTGAGATGGGACACGTGCTTTATGCCTGCGCAGGGGCTCCGGCTCTGTTTCTTGCTTGGCCTTCAGCTGGGAACCATGGGCAGAACCTGGTGCCTTGGAAGGGAAGCTGCCCCATGCCTGGGTGCGGCCCAGCTGCTTACTCTCCTTGTTTGGCTCCCTGGAGAGAGCGGGTCAACGTGTGTTGCTGGAGAAGCGAGGGCTGGGCTGCCCTAATTCCCTACCCCTTCTTCCTGCCCTGGTTCTGTGTTGTTCTGTGCCTTGTTCTGTCCTGCACCTGTGCCTTCGGTGCAGGAGTGGCAGGTAAAGAGGTGTTTGGGGCTGTTCTAGGCTCAAGGTGTGCCCAGGAACACTGAGCTACTGAGCGGTTTGGGTGCATCGCCCACCTTGCTCAGCTGCACCCAGAACGAGACAGTGTCCAGAATCTCAAGGTTTTGCACCGAGGCCGTCTAAAGGTGGTCTTTTCCCTTCTTGGTGACCCTGGCCCATGTCCAGCTGCATGTCCTGGTTCAGGCTTCTGCCCCAGGTGCCTGAGCAGAGCCAGGCTGTGCTCTGAGCTGCTCATCTTTGGGGTTGATGGCTCCTTGTGTGCTGCTCTTGGCTAACAAGAGTGTGTGTGTGTGGAGCTTTATCCCCAGCTAATCCCTCTAGCTTGAGGCGCATCCAGTCATGAAACTGGTAATGGAGAAATGACAACTGGGTCAAGGAGAGCAGGCAAGTACTGCACACATCCATAAGACTCTTCCCAGCTCTTCTGTCTCCTCATCTTGCGTGCTATGGCAAAGAAGACCCAACCAATGCCAAGGTGTGAGTCAAGGGCATTGCTTGGGTTATGCACGTGGAACTGGCAAGCCCTTCATGCAGCAAAACCAGCTCTTGCCCTGAGCACACAGCCAGCTGTGACAAAGACGGGTGAAAAATGCAGGGACATATGACAAGTGACAAGTCTGGAATGGCAACAGTGAGTCACTGCTGAAGCAGGAATCTTCTGCTGGTTTGGGGGCTTCCAGAGATCTCTGAGGTGGGTGCTAAGCGCGAAAGCTTGCCGTGGTTGTTTCACAACATCCTGCATGGCAGGGCTGTGTGTTCCTCCTTTGCCAGCCATTATGACTGGTCTGCGGCCACTGATTTCTTAGCTGTAGAGGCAAAGGGGTTGCATTGCTCCAGATGCAGCTCAGGTCTATCACTACTTACAGCTCAGTGGCCTTTACCTATGTAGGGCACTGTAGGAGTGGGAGTGGCAGGGCTGAGATCCTCTGGGCATGATGAGCTCTGCTCCTCTAGCACGGAATCACCAGTAAGCAGATCGGTCCCTATAAACAGGTGCAATGCAGCCATCGTGTTTCAAAACATCCAATATTAATCTTCCAGTGGCAGCTTTGCTGTTGGCAGTGCTTTGCAGGAGCTGCCCAGGCTAGGGGCAGACAATCATGTGCTGAAGGGCTGGGCTGCTCATGGGGAGATAAAGCCTCTCTAGGGATCCTTGCAGGAGGACAACAGCTCTGGGGAGAAGAACCAGCAGGGCACGGGGCTGGGTGGATTTGCTGCTGGCTTCGGCTGCAGGCAGGTTCCTTGCCTGCCATTAAGGACCAAAGTAGAGATGGGATCCACCATGCTGTTTCCCTGTGCCCCCCCACAGCCCTGCAGCTGGGCCATGGGTGCCTTGGTGTGGCTGTCATTGCTGTCCCATGACACACAGGGCCAGGCAGGGTGACACTGGGGGTTATTAGGTCCCGGATATGTTGCTGGGGGTACCTCGTGGTGCTGGTGGCACGTGGTGAACGTGTCTCTGTGACACCCGCCCTGTGCTCGCTGCCCACTGGTGCCAAGCTGTGCTGTGTCATCAGCCACAGCAGGTCCTGCCGGCACCCCGCATGACCCAGGGAGCCATATCAATCACCTCTTTATCAGCCCTTGCTCATCTGCCTTTGCTCCCCACCTTTTCCGCTTGGCTGTGCAGTGACTGTGGAGCTCCAGGCTAGAACATGGGGTGCAGGCACGTGGTGGGTCAGTTCCTTGTCCACGTGGGAGCTGTGGGCTGAGCTGCAGTGTCCTGAGCTTCGTGAGAGCTTGTTGAAGTAGGACAGGCAGCTCCAGCCATTTCCTGTGCTTGCTTCATGGTTCTGCGGAGTGCTGAGCACCAGCAGCTCCTGCAGAGTCTGCCTGCTTGTGTGGAGCTCTGCCTGCATTTCCCTGCAGCTCCTGGAAACTAACTTCTCTCTGAGCTTGAAGTATCCCCAGGACATTTGAGTGGGGTTTTGCCTGGGAGATCAGAACGGGTTTTGCTTCCATGCTTCACCCAGCCATGAGTAGTGCTAGAAGCTGTCACCTAGGATTTCCTCAGTCCCTGTGTCCACTATGGGCTGTCTCCCACCAAAACAGGGACCTGGGCTCTTGGTCTGGGCGTAGGTGTTGGATAGTTTTGCCCAGCAGACTGAGCATGTTGTTCTGCTCTGCAGTGTGGGCACAAGGTGAATGTGTTTTGAAACCCAATGAGGTGGAACCTCCCATTGATCACAGGGGCTTGAGAGGTTTAATTACAGCGTGCAGTGGGGACAGTGCAAGTCAGCTGGAGGGAGGCAGGATGTGTAGAGATGTGTAGAGTGCACGCACTATGGGAGGAGAACAGAGGGATGAAATGCAGATGGATGTTGGACTCTCCCCTCCATTGCCCTCTGG